AATCTTTGTGGTATGGAAGTGAAACGCTTATTGGATATATTGTACCAAAGGCTCAAAAGGACGATGAGTGGAATCACGATGGTGATGGTAACCTGTATGATGTGAAGACGCCTCTTAGTTGGATAATGGGGAGTCCCATATTGAAGGTTTGTGTGTTAACTGATATTGAAAACCGTGGACATCTTGATCAAGAACATCTATGGAAAGAAGTTTGATAAAGTGGTTAAAAAATTCTAGGACAGGTACGCCGACCAGAAGTTTCCGTGTGAATGAAAATAGACAACTCAGAAGAAGCGTGACTCAGAGATTAAGTGTGATCGATGGACATGTAAAAGGGACCTTACCAATAAAGAACTTTTGATTGTGGGCGAGAAAAATGTCTTAATTTCAGATCTCTGAACCCTAAATATGGTTATTAGTAGACATGTGGAAAGGTTGTGTAAAAAGAATGAATAAGTGGATCATCCGCAAACTTTTTGCTTGCATCATCGACCAGCTTCGAGCCTGGGAAATGTTTTGTAATAGATTGTTCTGCGAAACGCAAAACACTGTCCCTGAATGGTGAAGATGATTCCATTAAATCATTAGTTAGGATATCTATTTTGGCTTTCACCACCCAAATAAAATGAACATTCTTGAAGATCTACGTCCAGTTGAGGGATAGAGACTGCCTGGGGTATAAATGGTAACAAGAAAGCTCTCAAGGTAAGGTGTGAGGATACAGAACAATAATTCGCTTATTTGGAGACAGTATCTTCTTCCTCTGTGTTAACTCTTTGCTAGGGGAAATCATAAGTGTATTTGTTTCCGAACATCTGATAGATGTCAATTACAGACATTTTCATATGATAATAATAATATATTCTCATTTTTGTCCATGAGGGACGCCAGTTTACAGGCATCACCAATTCGATAAATTACACATACGATTAGTAAGTATAGTTAGTAATGATAATATAATAAGGTATATATTTATTCCTACAAATGTAGGACACACAAGTTGTATAGGCATGGATAAGTATTATTTAAGTGACATATTTAAATTACATGATTTACGGTTAAATAACGTGGTTGCTATGATTTTATCTTTAGTTTGTGGGAAAGTTGGATAACTAGTGATTCAATGGAACACATCAAGAAATATAGAGATATTGACTTCGCATTAATTAACATATGAATGACCGATTGTCTTGGGCCTTTTTCATTAAGTCAGCGTGTAGACTTATAATAATAATAATTTATATTTCGTATAAACAGGTAAGTTTACATGAAATGCATGCCATTTTTACAGGCACGATCAATTATGTTGCGAATTACAATTGTGAATTATCATACATTATCACTATTTTTAAAAAGTTCAAATTGTTGAATTATATAGTACAAGCAATCGGAACAGATTATTATTATTGTTAATTTGTAAACCTTTCACGAAGGTCTCCATCGAAGTTGAGCGAGACAACCCAAACTTCGTTCCATTTCCTGTTGATGATAGTAGTGGCCCATCGATAAATAAAATATATATTTGTTTGAGTACTGTAACCCCACGTGCTTGAACGCTATTTCAGGAAGAGGAGGAAATCCTGCATAGCTATAAATTGGTATAAAATGCAATCATGAATAATATATTATTGGAAGTATATTTACAAGAAAAATACAAGAATAAGTTATACAGTACTTAATATGATAGTGCACATTTGCAATGTATGATGCTAACCATATTGGTCTTACCATAGAAAACTATGATGTTTTCTACGAAAATAAAGTTATTCTCAAACATGAGTGCTGTTGTTATGTTTTTTTACTATCAGAGCAACCGAACTTTATGCGGGAGAAGAGTGTGAATGAGAAGAAAGAAAAACAAAAGAGTAAATTTCAGCTTTACCAAAAGCCTAGGAATTGAGATAAAATAGACTATAATAGCAGTTAGGTAGAAGGATCATCGTGAAGTATATAAGTGACATTTCAGAGGGAAGTGGCTAGAAGGATTAGAACCTGTTCGATATGGCGACCTGTAGGATGTCTGGCGAACTTGTGTATGACCCATGAGATAGCATCTTGACAAGAAACTGAGCAGGCTTGTAGATGTTAGGAGCGAAAGCATTATTTTTTTACAAGCTAAAACTGTACAGTCATTAGTTTTTTAAATTTTTTTAAAGTCTAATTTTTAAATTTTTTATACATTCAGTATCTGAACTCATGTTTAATTCTCGAGCTGCCAAAATAATGCATGTTGCTGTCCTACAGATCGGAGCGATTCACACTTGTGACCACTACCAAATCTGCTGATCAGCATGCACCACCCTCCCTTCTTTTTTGACATTAAGCTCTGAGACCTCTTACAATAACTGCAGTTGTAATATTGGATTGCTTTGACTCCGTCCCAGTCATACAGTATGCTGCACATAAACAGCTTTCATGACAAGTGCTTCCCATTAGGTCACATGGCACAATAATACCAGAGGACATTGTTAGCAGTATTATGATCATACTAGTGAACAAGTGGATTACTACAAAAGACTAAGAAATTAGGTTTTCCTTAAGAGTTATGAAGTATAAAAATAGCTAATATTTGAGCAACTAAATCATATTCTATTTAGCGGAGTGATATGAGTAGTGGAACAATTAGTGATAAAGTTATGTAAAGTGGTTCTGAGTAAGGCAACTGGTTAGCAAAACTTGTTATGCTAAATTTTCACGACCGATTCTATACGGTGTGCGTCACACATTGCAAAGTGACTCATCAATTATATAATGGAAAAATACTACATAATTTCAAAAATATGAATATTTTAGAAAATTATATGAAAATGGGTATCTGTTGACTGAAGATAGTCATTTCAACTCAAAAATAGTACTAATAATATCAATAATATATTTGTAACAAACGCCTAGGAAATTGCGTTTAAGAAGTATGCAGTATAGAAGTAGCTAGTATTACAGCAACTAAGTTGTAGTCTATTTAGCAGAGTAAAAAGTGTAGTGGAACAATTAGTGATAAAATTATGTATAAGGATCCTGAAGAAAACAGCCGGTTAACAGAGCTAGTTATGCTAAATTTTCATGACCGATTTTCATACGGTGCGCATTAGATATTGCAAAGTAACCCTTCAACTTATATAATGTTAAAAATACTGCGAAATATTATAAAGGTTATACGTTTTAGGAAAGTGTATGAGAAAAGGCGGTTATTGGCTGAGTAAAGTCATTCAGACACAAAAAATAGCATTGTATTATTAACTGTATATACATATGTAAAATATTAAAAGGTGTGTTTGCTAATATAATTGTTTAATAATAATAATTTGTATCTAGAAGTACTTATATTAACATAACTTATTGAAGACTATACAGAAAGGAAAATCAGTAAATTAGTTAAACGTTCGCTGCGTAAGTAGTATAGTCGAGTTATATGTAACTGACTTAGCTGAAGACTGGACTGGATTTTACTTACCATTTTACCAACATTTGTGGTCCTTTAGACAAGCTAGGGTGGACATGTTAATGTGTCTCTCTAGGCTCCGTTTGAACCCATTGGGGTTTTCACAACATCTAATTTCAGATGGCAGTTGGTTTCAAAGAGTGCAATATTTAATGGTGAAAAAGTTTGCCCTAATGGATTTTCTGTGGGTAGCCACCTTGACAAGGTAGTCGTGGTTTCGCAGCTGATATGATTTAATATTTTCCCACGTTATGGATGAGTTACTATAACAGTGTTTTCTTATGACTTTGAATAGTAGAAATAAGTTGCACTTCACTCTCTTTAACTACAGGGGTTCTAAATTCAGACGCATACACCTGTCAACATATTCCACTTGTTGGTCAAACCCTATTACGCGTTTCGTTGGGAATCTCTGAACACTTTCGATTTTTTTCGGTCTGCAGACCTTAGGTTACTATACAGGAGAGCACAATATTCAAGTTTGGGGCGGATACATGTTCTATATATAGCTAATCTTGCTTCTTGGGTGTAGAAGTTACGCAGCACAAGGCCAATAAGTCGTTTACAGTCAGATACAACCTTATTTGCATGATCGGAGAAGGTTAGATCTGAGTATGTTATCCCGAGATCTATGACTGTGTTCAGTTTCGAGAGGAGCTTACAGTACATATATAGACACATCGGTTTCCAGCGTCCAAGGTGGGCTATACTGCACTTGTCTGGGTTGAAAGTCAATTGCCACTTTTCGCTCCAATCGCCTAGATTGTTTAAGTCATGTTGGATTTTGCTTTCGACGCTCATATCATCGTACCCGTAATCATATACTTTCTTGAGATCATCTGCAAAGAGGTATGGCTTGCCATACTTGATCACAGAGACTATGTCATTTATAAATAAGAGGAATAAAATAGGGCCAAGAACGCTACCCTGTATTACACCACTAGTTATCGGCTTTGATGAAGACAGCTGGTGGTTGATTTTGACTAATTGCTCTCTTTCTGTGAGAAAAGAATTTATCCATTTGAGAAGTTTCCCGGTTATTCCGTAGGATTAGAGTTTTGTTATGAGTCTGATATGTGGGACTTTATCGAAGGCCTTGCTAACGTCGAGAAATAATGTTGTTACCGAATGCCCATTATCAATGCATTGTGTAATGTAGTCAAAATAATCTAAGTGGCAAGTAATGCACGACCTTCTACTTAATAAACCGTATTGGGATGGGGATAGTAGGTCATTTGACAGCAAGTACTGAATGATTTGAGTCTTTACTATCTTTTCCATTACACGTGAAACTACAGACGTGATGTTGATGGGGCGGTAGTTGTTGATATCAGCTATAGGCCCGCACTTATGGATAGGCACAGTATAAGACTTCTCCCAGCGGATAGGGTATGTCCCATCGCTTAGTGAAATTGATTATAACTTGAGTAGGAGTAAATTCATATCACCACCACCATTTTTCAGCAGAATGAAAGATATACCATCTGGACCAATAGTGTTACTAAGCTTAAGATTTAGTTTATACTAAGGCCCTGAATAGAGTGAGATTCCATATATGTAAATGGGTCAACAGCAATCAATATTTTCTTTGCCACTGGACGTTAACTTTTGTTTTGTCACAGACGATGTTGAAAAACCACTTGCATCGACATATATGTCAGTGGCATTGTCATCCTTGTTTCGTCTTCCATGACTGGCAGCACCACAATTGCTCTCTTCTATAAAAACGTTTCTGGACTCATCCAAGGGATTATTTAAATGTGCGACGCATCACATGAAAGTAGTACACTTGGGATAAGAAATAAAGTGAGGAGTCCTGATTTTGAGAACTGAAAGTATATGATATGTTGGCGGGACCTTGTCTATGTTTTGTCAATTAGACCTAATGGCAAAATGTGCTGAGGAGTCAGTGTTAAGATGCACAGATTCGCAAAAATAAAAAGACTATGTATGGTCTAACAGCGATGATAAGATGCTCATGTCTTCTAATATGAGGTAACTGACGCATGCAGATTGGAAATGATCAGTCAGCCCTGTTCTCACGTGGAAAACCCTTTGGTACCCTGCCCAAACTACCATATTTGGTTCATATTCAAGCTTCACGTAGAAGCTGCTGAGGTAGTAGGGACCATATATTGCTATCACCATCTGAAACACCTGGAAAAACTTCTAAATTTGTCATTATTCATGTTCTGAGTACAACATAAATCTTCGAGCTGCTGTAGTTTCAGCAGAGGTGGATTCTCTTTTACAAACTGAGGTTACTAGCCCGTGCTTAATTTTCCTCTTTTACAGGCTTACTACCGGCACACAGTGTGCTAGTCACTAATCATGCCCACATCTGTTTTTCAGGCGAGTATTTTACTAATGAGTCACCGGCGTACGGTTAAGTCATTTTTATGTGTCTAATAAAGGAGATAAGGTGTGACCTAATACAGTACATTATAAATCACTAGGTGTTCACAGATTCTACACCCTGGGTACTTTGCCACTTATTATGTATCTGAAGTCAATAATGGTAAATATTTGTTCAGCTAAAGTTCCAAAGAATAGTTTAGCTGACTCTGACAAGTTTCGTTACAGTCAGTCATTTATTTTCTGTCGCCAATATATCTTGACAATCCGATTCGAAACCTCCAAAGATTCCTTTATGGGTATGACCACTAGGTTCACTATTTCTTAACGTGTCAGTTGGCTTCTTATGTGAGCCGTATCGAAAGAACCAATTAATTTCTGACTACTAAAGCCCATTAGTAATCTACGATGCAGTAAATACTCAATATCTGGTATAGGTAATTGAACGATTTTGAGGATGAAAAGTCAAACTCATCCGTTCCTGTCAACATATGACGATAACAGGTCAGTAAAAACGCGAACCTATACCCTTTATGGAGCTTCTCACGTTCATTGACAATCTGACTTCAAAATACTTATTATTCAGGGATTCCCTACGGGTCCGGGAAAAATCCACTCCCCAACTTCCCACCTAAAGGTAACCCATAATGCTAGCAGTAAATGCACTTAATTTGCACAGCAGTTTTATGAAAAATACATTCCTGTTCAGAAGCACACCTAAGGAAATTGATTCAAGGTGTTCAATTTAATACGACAAAACAACACATTGGTGACCATTTTCAACTCTCCCGCGCATTCGTAGGTTATTGATTTTCAGTAGTCAAAGTAAGTGTTATTTATGCATTTCGAGCGGTAAAGTTCATAATTTAGAATTTTAAGGCCTTATATTTATCATTTTATTTGATCGGTTATTCTCGTATCGGTTTTTTGTGCACATAGTTAAGCTTACGGTAAATAGTCTGGGGAAGGTGCTTAATATCATCTGCTTTGAAAACTGAAAACGTTCCTAGATCATGGAATTTAGAAATCCAAAACTGTTGTCACTAGCAGATTTCCCTAATTTAAGTTGTGTGTTGCATTTTAAGAACTATATATAACCTATGGAAATTGGTCATCAAATATATTAGCATGTTCATCCCGATACACGTACATATAATAACCTTAAAATATACCTCTTTACGTGTTTCAATAACATTATCGACTGGATTCAGGATTCGTGTGGTAGTTTTATAATCTCATGTGCATACTATTCCTCTTCAGTTATGCAAGTTGGATTTTGAAGTCATTCTAAGACCTAACCCAAACATCTAAAGGTATTTGTAGTTCTTTATTGTCGATTAATTCATGCATTAGTTGAAGTAGACCATTATTCATGTTTATGTACCTTCCGAATTAAAATTTGTTAGAATAAATAGTATAATCTTAAGCGTCTCATGCCGCATAGTGGAAAAGAATAAAATTAAGAAGTATAAAAGTGAAGCTAACTCTGAGATGTTTAAATAGATGAAGGGTAAGCTACATTCAGAGAAACCAGGCAGAAAATATAATGACAAGACTGATAATTTAAGTACATCTTTCTGCGCCTCATTGTCGTTATACCCTTCAGTAACTAATGTTTGTTTCATAAATTCTATTCAGCGGATATCACAACTATCTATAGTCATACGTTAAGGACTTTGATGTATACGGTATACTTCCATCCGGCTCGTTAAAGTTCTTAGCAGCTAATTATTTCAATTGGTGGTCTCTTGTTCTTGCGGGTGATTCATAGCTTAAGGTCTCGGTGATACTCATTTAATTTTTCAGATCACCCTAAAATATCAACTAGAGCTAGTCAATGAAGCTTCACGCTTTTTCAAATGCATTTTAAGGGTTGTAACGGACATATGCATCTGACAGACAGGTACATTTAGATAGAACCTTACGCAATGTCACACTAGTTTCCTTTTGTCACATTTTGTGATGCCAGACAGAACGAGGGTTAGTAAGCATACTCACCGTCCCGAATAGTTTATATGCGCACTCTTATGAACAATTTCGGGCGTCACCACTAGAAGTAAACACTTGGATTCTTTATACCCAACAATACCTAGGTGACTTTTATCTTCTTATGTAACTGAAGCCAGAAGTTGTAAAATCCATGAACTATTTCTGCGCTACCACCATCTCTTGATCTAACATTTCCTCACTTAACACTCCGTGAGGATGTTATTCTTCAGTAAAGTTAACCAATAAAGATTTACGTGTCTGTATAATGTTGTGCATTGTACAAATGCGAAATACTGTTGCAAGACTAACAGGGTTCTGTATTCGTACTCCCCGATAAAATTAATTGAGAATCCCATTTATCTAGGCATTTGTGTGAGTGCTGATCGGCGTGACAGATAAAATTTACTGTATAGGGAAAGTTAGGGTGGTAAAGCCCAGCATGGATCACTCTTGGCTCTATCGTAAAGTTACTCTGGTCGTCGAAGGTGTGATCGAATAGTTTTGATATACGTATGTTAAGCCTAAACTCTCCAAGGTGGGCATGTGTGTAGACGCTGCGTCGCTATCTCTTTAGGAGTGGTCTGTCTCGTTGATGTCTGTGTAAATATTTTTGAAGTCCGGCCGTTTGTCCTGCTGTAGTAGAGACCATATTACAACTGATAATTTCATCATGGGACACTGACGTCATATGAACATGTGCTACTAATGTCATTTCAAAGACTTTCATACCGTCCACTCTGCTGGCTATAGGACTGGTTGGAGGAAGCTAAGTGTTAATCAGCCCACAATGGTGAGGTGAAATGAATAGTTGTGTTGGTTCACCTGGTGCACCTTGATTTTAATCTGCTCCCTCTGTGTGCATCTACAAGGTGTATCAAGTTCGAGTTAATGTACTCCCAAACCGAGTTCTGCGTTTTCCCGACGATAAATTAGTCTATAAAATCCATTATTTATCGTCGGATAGTGAAACATACTTTTCTTTGTTTTGAGTCACTTGGGCTGACGTTAGTGCCCTTAAAAGTAAAATTCACTCAGTAACTTTGCCAGTATCCGCACAGTGGTCTAAACATACACTAATCACAGAATTGAAGTACCACAACTAAAAAGACTGACCACTAGATGTCTTACAAAATAACAAGATACTATTCTATTGTGTGCGTCGGTGGTATAGAGGTTAGGACTCTCGCCGACCATGCACATGGTCTGGGGTTCGATCCCCGGCCGACGCACTCCTTTACCTCGCTAAGCCAGAAATAATGCTGGTCAATAGGAAAGGTTGGGCATGAGGCTAGCAACTCCATCCTGTAAAATTAACACTGCTACAGAAACTTCAAGCCACTAGCTTGAAGCCCTATGTTCTACTGAGGAACGTGAAGAAAAAAAATTATATTGTGTGGCCATTGGAACTGCTACACGTGAGTGATGTTCAAAAAACTATGAACATACGCACTGTTATAGTTCCTTTACCTATATGATGAATAGGATACTAGCATTTACGAATAAATTAGTCTAACAAACGATAAAAATATTGCAAATTAGACGTCGACGTATTTCCCGTAATTTCTATTCATATCAAGCACTGAAGTTTAACTAGGTGGTTTTTTGTTATTGTGGGTTTTGTATTGAGGCAGCTATACCTTAAGTAATAATCACATATATACTGGGCTGATGAAATGATGTCTTTTCCTTGATGTTCATACAAAGGCTGATTCCGTTTACTACAATTTTACTACCACAGCTAGGGATAAGATCTTCCACTTTTAGTAAATCTTGTCACTGGTACTTTATGTGACATCCGAGAATCACGAGTCACTTCCTTTTGATGCCAAGAGAGTAACACTGGTTCATACTTAGTCTGACTGTCAGGCATATTACCACTGATATGCACTGGTTTTTACAGTTTTAAAATAATTCCTCATGAATATTTTAAGTGGGCACAAGGTTAAAGACGTTGAGGCTACCAAATAGTATCAGTAGACTCCACATAAATAGTAGTATTGCAAGATAGAGAATAAGTAGCTCTTTAACTGATACATTGTTTTCGACTTGATATTGTGTTAAATGTCAGATGACACTGCTTTAGTTTACAACGCATATTTTCACCCAAAGATATTTGCTTTTTTGAATTAGGGCTTATATTTTTTTCGTGCTGTCATTTAAGAATTTATTACATGAATGTGTATTTACCACTGAACTGAACGAATGTTCATCGGAAGTGATTCATCTCTATCTTGATTTGAAATTTCTGATTTACTGCACATATCTTACAAATTTTACCACAGGGAAGCCGTGCTTGAAAAACAGCTTTGTCACATTATTTTTTAAGAAATTTCAATACACGAATTCCACTTTGAACAAAGCGTTAATAACAGCTTGCAGGATAAAACGGATATATTCTTTATTTTGTTGGTATCTTGTCAGCTGCATATAACCTAAATAATCAAAATTTAATAGTTTTATTACAGTTTCAACATACTTTAGTTCATTACAGACAAAGTGTGGAATGATCATTGAAAACGATCAGGGTATATAGATGAATCAAATTTTGTTAGTAAAATTGCTATATGAGTAGTATGATCGAGGTTACTCGAATAAAATGAAATTGGGGAGCAAGGGTGGCAACAAGATATCGAATTATAAAAATCGAGATTACGTAAGCCGTTAGAAAATTGTTAGTGCAGATGAGATATAAAAAATACGAGTCACTCATTAATTTAGACATCACACATGTAAATCATAACGCTTACTAAATCATGACGTAACTAGGCAAAGGTCAAAAGAAGAGTTTCTAAGGTAGAAAGAGAAACCAACATTTGCATTTAATAAGAGATGATATAGTCAATTAAGGGTATAGACTAGTTACCAAGGTAGAGAAAGACTTACTACACCCTTTTGAATACATAAGCGAGGTTTTGATTGATTGATAACGATGGCCTTTACGAACTCCAAGAGACTCAAGCTTGATTATTTATTGTTTTGAAAGAATTTAATGTGTCTACCTGATGTCCTGTGTCAGTCAGACGTTTCAGGACTATGTTGTTCAGAGACTTACTTCCTCAATCACAGACTTTTCGGGAAATCTAAGTCTATAGATATAGCTCTTCTGTGTAGTCTGAAAAGTAAAAAAACGGAGTAGACGTTTTGTTTGAGTGGTTACAATTTTATGTAAAACTTCTTAAGCGGTCCCTCAAAAATGACAGATATTTTTGTAATTAAAATACAGCCCGTTGGAATGGTTAGCACACGAAAGTTAATTTCATCATCTCAATAATACCAAACATGAATTCATTTCATGTTAGGCTGAATCATTCCTTGAAAGCCCATGAGATTGCCAAATTAGACTGTTAGATGTGTATGTATCCGGTGCCCACTGTTCAGTATTAAGGACGTCAGTCTAAATAGGTTTTCTGCACAATTTGGACTTCGTGGCATGCACATGCATGTTCTTGTTCTTCATTACATGTTTTGTTTCATGCGTGCATATTTATCCGTTTCGACATTCTTTCTTTATACTTTTGAATAGTGAGCATTTTTGCTGATGCATTGTTTTTCTTAGTTGTAAATTCTAGTCTACGACTACGAATATACATTATCTTTCCTAATATCGCACACAGTAGTGTAAGAGTTGTTTTCTGAAGTGTTGTCCTCCAGGGATGCCCATTGTCTCCATTTTTGTTCAGTTTCATCATAGATGTACTAATGGATATGACATTGAACTACTTTAGCTTATGAGAAATTGACTTACTACTAGAGAACAGTTTCGTCGATTTAGAATGTGCTAATAATATTATCCCTCTGGGTGAAGATGCTGACAAAATGCAGTGTTCTGAACAAGTTAAGCAGCAGTCATGGTATATTTGGCATGATATTCTCCCCTGTCAAATGTTAGATGATGTTGCAGGACTAGTCTGCATCGGCTCCTGGTTTCAAAATAGGGATTGAAATAGTTGAGTGTTGACCATTTCACTTTTTTGGGAAGTCGCGTCGGTCCTAATGAATTGATTGCTCATGAAGTCTCGTTATGAAGAGAAAAGACTCGTGTGGCAATTTTCATCTCACATCATCTTTCGTGTAGACGTGATATCAGGTATCCTATCTCCCATGTTAGGTGGTATAATAGGGTGAGTAATATTGAGGTTAGTCATCGAGCGTTAGGTAGGGAGAGGAAGTCAGTAGATGAGGTTGTGAAGCCACATCGATTGAAATACCTAGGGCACGCGTTAAGCATGCCAAGGCATCACCTTCCTCGTCGAGTATTGTTAGCTGAAATGGAAATAGGTTGGGAAAGAGTTCGGAATGGTAGGATGAAGATGTTGCACTAATCTATGAAGTATTTGTTCATTGTTTGGAGCCACTTAAGGAGGTATAGACTGTCTGGTTGGGGCCCTCGAGACGCTAAGAATCAATGGTCGTAGACTGTTGATGATTTGGTTCAGAACCGTTCTCAATGGCGCCGATGCATTTACTCTTTGTAATCTCCCAGATCCACTAAGTGCTCATTATTTTTTTTTTGTGTCATCTTTTCTCCCGTATGTTTCTGCTCATCATACTTCTTTTGACTTTTTCTTTCACTTTACATACTGTATGGAGTATAGCAGCTTGAACTACTGCACTTTTATGCGTAGTTCTACGTTAAAACTCAGTCAGTCTCATCTTTTCTAGTGATCGTCACAATTCTTTATTTATTCATATTTTTCAGATTATCCTGTTATTGAGACTACTGCTATGTCCAACTTTGCTGCTGATGGCATCGAACGCAAACCTACTTTATCCAAAAGCTCTTCAGTCACAGGTATGCATTTCTTTACGTTATAATCACCTCGTTTCGCATACTACTGTAATTTTGCCTTTTGGTTCTCGATGCATACATTTAGGGCCACTGAATGAGTAGTGTAAGAATATGAATGTTTGCTGTGATTTATTTTCATAGTTTTAAAAATTAATTTCATCACTACTTTCCACCTCTTGTACACTACAATCTCCAGGTGGGACATCTGTGCGGAAACGCTCCACTGGTGATACCCAAGGTAGTCTTGTCCTATAATCCTTTGATGTTGTACATCTGTCTCACCTCATAAATACATAATTCATTTGTGCACATTTCTCAACAAAATATTTTTGAAGTAGTATTTACCACATTTATATGCATTTGTGATTGTTTTAATTTTACTTGGTGAAAATAACCACTACTGTGTTGTGTATTAGCAGCGTGGTGGCAGTGGTGATGGTGTTCTTCACCAGTGTGATTTAGTAAATAAAATCCGACGTATCAATAAATCAAGATCTAGATCATCATCAGGTATTGATTTGTGTTCTGTCGTTCTAATGATTCCGTTTTTTACTTTCGGTTTTCTGGTGTTTTATTTTATTCTTTTTGTTTGTTTCTCACTATTTCAACAGCGCAGAAGTTTGTTAATAATACTTTATCTTTTTAGGTGCTGGTGCTGTGGATGAAGAAGTATTTCGACAGTCTTTTATACCGTCTATGTCAATTTCAGTAAGAATATTTTTTTTTACTAATACGTCATTTTATTCATACTAGGTTTCATCTGCTAAAGAGCTCAGTGAAATTATAAATCGTATAAAAGATACACTTACTGGTAATCCTGAAGAATGGGAAAAACGTGTTGAAGCGGTAATTTTAATAATTTCTGTTTTTTGGTTTTGCTTCTGATGATTTAAAACTTTTCTACACTGCTGCCAAAAGTAGTAGTTATGTACAGCGGTTAAATACGTAAGATTATTAAGCACATCTTATGCACACACACACACATACCTTGATATCCGACTTCAAGTCATTAAGCATTACAATAATAAAAAAAATAAATCTCTTAGTTTATTGAGGTTAATTTCAATGACTGATATTTCCAGCACTATTCAAATCATAATAAAGTGCGGTAATAATCACAATCTCAACTTTACCAGTATTAGTCTCCCAATCCTTATTTAACATTTGAACCAAATGTGTTTTCGTTTTCATGTTTCCCGTTCCCTCTTTTCATTATATATTCATATTTTTCAGCTGAAAATGTTACGTGCTGTTGTTGCAAATGGTGCACTACAATACGAAGAATTTTTCACCTTACTGAAAACACTAGAGAGTCCAGTTGATCTTTCTTTGCGTGATTTGAGATCCTCAGTTGTACGAGAAGCTTGTATAACAGTTGCGTAAGTTTTACCTATAAATAATATATGTAGTTTATAAAAATGTTTCCTACAGATATAAAAATCAGTGTTATATATAAAAGCATAATTGACAGTTTAGTTAAAGTCACACCACCCTCTTACATAATGTTGTTGAATTTATAAAGATTCACATTACAATATCAGATGACTAGGTGTTGTGTTTGTCGCCTTCTACAAATGTAATTGTATCCTACCTCAGTGATTTATCCCACGTTACACATTATCACAATGAAAAGCGGTTCTAGTGAAGGGAGCAAAACAAGTTTGTGCAGATCTTATGTTTATTGCGATAAATGACAATGGACGTTAATAGAATCACTAACTTCACATCGATTTCACAATTTGCGAATAATATCACCCATTCTTTAGTAGAGTGCGTCGGTGGCACAGTGGTTAGGACGCTCGCCGACCATGCACATGGTCCGGGGTTCGATCCCAGGTCGGCGCACTCCTTCACCTCGTCAAACCAGTAATAAAAAGCCGGTAAAGAGGAAAGATTGGGCATGAGGCTAGCAACCTCATCCTATAAAAGTAAACACTTCTACAGAAACTTCAAGCCTCTAGCTTGAAGCCCTATGTTCCACTGGGAACGTGAAGGAAAAAAATTCTTTAGTAGACATGCTCTGTTCGTCATAGCTTTACAGAGTTTTAACCTAGTATTTCTTCCTCATTGACTTTTTCATTGACACAAATCATCACTGCTTCCGTTAGGGCGTCACTCTATTCTATTTATAATTAAAGCACATCACACTAGTTGTACTAGTAGCTTTAAAAGTTAAGTAGCTCAAATCTTAGTTTTAGTGCTTCAGTGTCACTGCTAACCATATGTCATTAGACAGTCCTTTTTACTCTAACCGAGTGTGGTGAAACATTGTGTGTGTGTGAGAGAGAGAGAATTGAAGAAGCAGGTGACTATTTTACCGTAATTGGAGAATTTTTGCCGGTTTCTCTACACTATTATCATCCTGGACTAATGCATAACTGATTTCTGAGTGTTCTTTTAGGAATTTTTCGGTTTTGATTATCATCAAATTGAATAACATGCTTGAATTAAGATATTGTTCTGTTTGCCTTAAATAAATTCAATGTCTTAACCAGATTTCCCTTGTATTTCCTTACCGGGTGGTAGCTTTTTATCACAAGAAATTCGTAATCGTTTTGATCGTTTCGCTGAAGGCGTTTTGCAGACAATTATTTCATTAATGTCAAATAGCGCCAAAGTTATGGCAACTAGTGGAATAGTTGCTATGCGATTTATTCTCGAGGTGAGTTCATTTTCCGTTGTAAATGCATGATTCAACCTCCTTTTTTTTCTTTTCTTTCTCAAAATCATGGCTTAGTTTTATACGCGGTATCTCTGGTGAAGCGATAACAGTGCATGTGAATTTTTATTGTTATGGTGGATTTTTTGTAGACTACTACATCGCATTGTGGTTATCTGGAGATCAAATCATGGAATACAGTCAACTAAGCTTATTGTTTTCTTCTGAGAAGGGGTGTTGTAAACTTTATAAACTTCTAAAAGCATTCTACCTGTGTCAGTTTCACTAACCTCACCCCCTGCCCCCGAAGAACTAATTTATGGGGCACCAGATCACAACCAGCGGTGCTCAAAATATTCCATTATTTCCTCAAATGTATTCCCTTTAACGTGAAAACAACAGACACCAGTAGGTTATACAGAAAATCACTGATACTTTCGATCTTCTTCGCTGTCGATCTAACCTACCGCATGGATTCATATCCCTGGCACATTCCTCCCTTTTACTGAAACATCGATATTACTTGTATTATGCTTGTGCAATCATAGCTGTTGGAACCTCAGTAGGTAGAAAAATGATAAGTTAGATACAGTCACTAAAATTTTGGTCCAACGTTAGAAACAGTTAAACAGAACAACAAACGTATTAGAAATTATTCCTGATAAAATATGTTTCATTGTTCATTATATCTAACTGTTTTGAATTTGAAATATATCTGTATTCACTACTTTGAAGCTTCAGAGTTGTGAATCATACAATAATGTTTAAAAAAAAACAAGCTCCCACACTTTTGGTGTCAAGATAATTTGTTGTTCCGAAGTGTTGGAGAGAAAAATACATGCATTCGTGTGTGTCTACGTACATTTTCATCTATACGAAAAAAGTAATTTAACCTGTGTAGTAAAGTCAAACAATAACCGCAATGACTCAGATACGTTTGTTATTCTTCATTTTCCTTCTTTTTCAACATTTAGCTCCTTTTTTCTGCATCGACTTTGTTTCTCCTGTAGTCGATTCCTCCTAGTTCATTTTCCGTTTTTCTGTCGTTATAGATCTCAGCAACTCATTGACATACAATAGTAATACTCTACACTACTGTACTGTTTGTCGTTAAAAGCATCTCTTTAGCGTAGGGAATCGTCGCTTTTCTTCAGGACTTCAAACATTTCATACTCAACTTTGTTTTGGTCCTGTACATCAGTTTTACTCTTACCGAATCATCGATTATTGATTTAAAGCATAATATACCAACTAAACTTAAGGGTTTCCAAGTAATTCCATTTCCGTAAAAGCATCATTTTTTTATTACAGCTTGATTCCACACCGTATTTTCGGTATAAGTATGGAATTTTCAGCATGTGATATCGGTAGCCCAAATTTCGCAGGCCGACCATTGATATCAGGTGTGCGTCGGCAGGGGATCGAACCCCGGACCATGTGCATGGTCGGTGAGAGTCCTAACCACTGTGCCACCGACGCAGTGTCGTTTGTGTATTCAAATCTGTTAATTAAAATATACAGTTGAGTTGAGTTTAAGTGATTCAATAAAATCAACAGAAATTTATTTGAGTATTTGTTACAATTCAATACAATGTAGCGAAAGAAAGATAAAAATAAACGAATCAAACATTGAAATGTAGTGTTAAACTGAAGGACATGGAGTAATTAAACGTCGAATAAAGAAATGTCCAATAGAACTGTATTACTGTATCAACTATTTTTTAAAATCGTGTGACATATATTATCAGCGCATAATATCCATCACTTTGCAGACTCTTCAGATTAGCTACATTGTTGGTTATTAGTAATCTATGCGTGTTGACACCGGTGGCATTAAATCTAATCCAGTAAAGCATTCACTTTATGCACTGTCAGTCACACCGACAATAAATATAAGTGATGTCCAGATCGTCTTTGTGTAATTCTCTAATTTATCCTAATCTCAGTAAGGAATTTCGAATAATGACGGTCGGTCAGATGTAACTGTTGCTTTCTTACCACTTGATGGAAATTCACTGCAGGCATGCAAAGTCCTACTGCTTCAATCATGTTAACCAGATAGTCGTTGTGGTGATCATCAAATAAAGAAAATTATTACTGATCTCGACGGGAAAGTTGAACTCCAGTGTAGTCACCAAATAATATAGACTTGAATATTTGGAAATTGTATTTAAACACTTTAGGTTTTCGTTCAACCAAGTCATGAGCAAGAGTGTGGTGAGCGACAGTAATTGACGTCAATGTTTATGTCCCCAATATTGGTCGTGAGAAAATGAGAACAAAGGCTTTGCGTAGGCGGACACAGTTAGCATATGGATGATCTGACACAGCCACAAAGAGATGCAAGGTTAACTTTCTGTGAGAAACAACCAATCAAAAGACTGTATTTTCTACTAACAATAATGTACATTGAAATCTATAAATATGTGTTGATTTTCCTTAATAAATGATCTGTTGCCTGGTCCTTGTCTTCTGTTGTTACAAGAGATGTCCAGCACGGTCGTTTGATAGTTGTCAAACTCTATCACGTGTTTTCATAGAAGTAGAGGAAAACGAACCATAAGATTAGAAACGTTTGACTCTGTATTTATTTATACAATCGTGCGTGTACATTGCTCAAGACACCTTTCATTGCCTCTTTTATCATTATCTTATAGCTGATTTCATAGTTTTTTTTTTAAAAATCGTTTTTAAATTTGTTATGATTCTATTATGATGAAAAGAAAAAGTTTTCTGGTGTTAAAATGTCTTTCAAAAATGTTTTTATTTCATATGCTTACAGAATACGTGTTCCCCCCGACTTCTTCCTATACTTATGTCTTCATTATCATCAAAATCTAATATTACTAGAAAGTGAGTCAATTTATCAAATATCTTTAATAAATAAAAAACTCCTTTTAAAGCTATAGAATAGATGATATCAAACATTGATCTTTTTTCATTCATTTTTGTTGTTAATGTTGTACTCTTTCTCTCTTAGTAATTGTATTAGTTGTCAGCACGTGAATACCACTGTAAATACTACTATGTCCATCATAATATTATATACTCCAAATTGTATGAATAGTTTGAAACTACTTGGCAATGTGGTGCGTCGGTGGCAGAGCGGTAGAATGCTCGCCAACCACGCATATGGTCCGGGGTTCGATCCCCGGCCGGCGCACTCCCTTACCTCACTAAGGCAGTAACAAGACTGGTAAAGAGGGTAGGTTGGGCATGAGGCTAGCAACCTCATCCCGTAAAAATAAACACCACTGCTACAGAAACTTCAAGCCTCTAGCTTGAAGCCCATTAGTGTTCCACTGGGAACGTAAATGAATAAAATAATAATAATAAATAAAACTTGGCAATGTATATCACATCAACTCATTTTAGAGAACTAGTTTGGTTAGACACTTAAGCAAGCAGGTAACATAAAAAGTTTTACTACCATATACAATATTAACAATCGGGTCCAGTACTCATCTTTAATAAACAACACCAGCATTATTCAAGGCTGAATAATATTCCTGAAATTACAGGATTTTCATCATGAGCTGACATTAGTTAGAGTACCATTGGAAAACCTGGGAGTACTGGACATCTGTTTCGTCCTAGTTTGGGACTCTTCATCAGTGCGCACCCACCGGGATTCGAACCCAGGACCTTCTGGTTACAAGGCGAGCTCGTAGACCATTAAGCCACTGGGACCCGATCCAATGACCAGTCAATGAATTGTAACTTCTGCCAATTCACGATATAGCGCGACTGCTAGCCAATGTCTTCGGAGAGTATTTGTCCTCACACCCGACCTGCTGCACCCTCCTGGTCACGACTTCTCACTAGAACCCCAGGTAACTACCTACCTGAATAGGGCAAGTCGCTAGTGAGCATCTCATTGATATTCAAGTGTTGGTTTGAAGGGATTTGATTGGTTACAGGATTTTCCTGAAACCTTGATGAGTTTGTGATCCACCTTTATAGACAATGAAAGTGTGTTTGTCTTACAGAAATGAAATTATGCTTAAGCGTTTAAAATTTACAAAAAAAATTCTCTACCAAATTGTCAGATGTTATTAATTCTTACTTTGATCAAATCCATTGCGAGTGTTTAAATGAGATGTGGATACAAGTGACTACTATGGAGATAATTTTACAGGAAGTTCAAATTACGAGCGAATATAAAAATGTATTGACAGAAAACAAATTTCCAACTCTTTCATTATTGTAAAAAAAGTTCCATGGAATTCTGATTGTTCATACCTAATATTCATGAAAAATCATCTAGTTATTTTTAATAGCAAAAAAAGCCAAATCAGTTCGCACACACACACACACTTCAAAAGTCCAACAAATGTAAAACGCGAAAAGAGTCATCCAATTTCAAAGCGATGCGTCAGTGGTTCGATGGTAGATAGCTCGCCAACCACACCATATATAGTCCGAGTTCGATTCTCGGCTGATGCACTCCTAAAACTCGTTTGGCCAGTAATAAGCCTCGTTAAGGAAGGAAGGAAGGTTAAGTGCGCGAGGCTAGCAACTCAACCCGTTAAAACAACGTCACCTTTACTGTGAAACTTCAAAGCTCATGTTTGAATCCCTATGTTCTAATCGGAACGCACTGGATTGAAGAAAGAAATTATCAAGCAATAGCTGAAAATCAGACTATGGAAATTTACCATAGTGCTCAAATAAGATTATTCCAAGTTAACCTGTATGGCGGAACTGACGAGGATATCAAAGCAAGAATCGGAAAAGCAAGACAAGCTTTCACTACTCTCAAGTCTGTGTGGAGGTCAACAGCACTCAGCATGAAAAATAAAATCCGGATTTTCAACTCCAGTGTGAAGTCAGTCAGTGCTACTATACGGATCAGAGACTTGGTGCGTCATAAAGAGCATCTCAAACAAACTACAGACCTTCATTAACAGTTGTCTTCGCTCAATGCTACTCAAGATCAGATGGCCATAAAAGATCAGCAACAGAGATCTCTGGCAATGAGCGAACCAACCAGGAACCGATTGTGAAACAAATAGGCAGGAAGAAATGGAGATGGACCGGCCATACTCTGAGGAAACCATCAAGTGACATCACACACTAGGCCATCGCTTGAGTGGAATGCGAACGGGAAGCGGTGAGTTGGTCGTCAGTGAGAGGGTGACATGGAGGAGAAGCACAATAACGCCGCAACAGTTTTAACAAAAATAAACATTCAACCACAATAAAATGATAAAACAAAAAAAAACACATTAATAAAGCTAGGCGTACAACACAAAAATTGATCAACCAAAAAAAAATTTTGACCAAATATCGATTTTCTTTTCATTAAAATTGTAGTTTGACCTTAAATTGAATTTATACGCCTTCTTGGACCTTTGCTTGAACAATCCATGGGACACCGATCAAACTAATCCAATCACTTATAATTATGGCATTATATCATACACTGAAGAATTTTCCTTCTCCCCTTGCGAGCTTCATCATCTGTAAATAGTAAACAGTACTAAAGTCACAGGAGAAAGTATGCGCGTAGAACATGCTCAAGTTTCCGAAGCTCTAAGCAAAATGACACCCTAAACCTATTGTCAGGATTGTTTACTTTCTGTCAAGACTTAAGTATGCGAAGTTCTACAAAGACAAAGGAGATTAAAAATAACGAATATTCTAGTTGTGTTTTCCGTTATATGACTGACTGACCGCTTTCAACGTAAAACTTTGCACAGATGTGCAGCAGTTCGAGTTGCCACACTCCATGTAGCACACAAAGCAAGAGAAGAAAGTAAAAACAAATGTAAAACAGAGATATGATGCGAAAAGAATAGTAATATCGAAGAACAATATAGTTTTATTGGATATTATAAGTCACAAGGAGTGGATGCATCTGCGCTGTCATTGAGAACGATTTTCAGCCATATCACCAATTGTCTCCAGCCATTGGTTTTCACCATCCCGAGGACCCCAATCAGTCAGGAAGTCTACACCTTCCTACGTGGCTTAAACTAACTGTTGTGGATTTCATTGACTGACGAAGCCATGTTTTGGTTTGACCACCACTAGCACTTTTTCAGCCTGATCCATATGTCAGATAACATCGCCCTTGTCGAGGAAGGTGATGCCTAGGCATACGTAACACATGTCCTAACCATCTCAATCGATATAGTTTCACAACTTCGTCTATTGATTTCCTCTCCTTACCGAGCACTCGACGCCTAACCCTCAATATTGCTCACCCTATTATACCATTTAACACGGGAGATAGAACGCAGACATCTATGATCAAAGACAGCTAACCTTTTCGTATCTTCCACTTCCGTTATCTGATTGTTAATGACCAACAGTGTCATTTGCTGCGAGGGTGTTACCGAAGATATGCATATTATTAATTAGTTGCTGTATATTTATCACACCGTATGTGTGATAATTAATTCCTGTCTTGTCTTTTCTTCCGCCAAACTACTTAAATCATTTCATAATTTATTTGTTCAAATTATTTTTTTTACAGATGCATTTGCGAATTTTTAGAAATCATTTTTACAACTTGGCCTGTGAATATTCTTGAAAAAAACTTGACAACACTACAAGATGCTTTAAAACGAGGTATATCAGATGCAGACCAAGAAGCTCGGTCATTTTCTCGTCGGTGAGTTTAAAGAGATAATGGGTATCTTTTTTCCTTTCTTTTTTTGATATGATTGTGTCCTCTGAACTGATTGGTTTATTTGCTAAGCTTTCATTGAGATGTTATGTGGTAGGTTGCAGTTTTGATTGAACTAGTTCAGTCGTACAGGGTAGTACACGCTAATACTTCGATCTACTGTTATTCAAGCAACTTATCTTTGTGATGATATTAGATGGTTGGAGGTAATCGGCAGGAAGCCTTGGACCTAGGTTTCGTGCTAGTTGGCACTCGTCAGCAAGGCGTATCTGCAACCTTAAAGGAACTCATGTCCCTTCTGAGATTCGAACCCGCGTCACGCAGTGCTGCAGTCAGAGACGTTACCACTGAGCTATTCGGGCTCGCGATTGACCTCCTGTAGGACTGTAGTGGATATTTTGATTTGACACTAGTGACTAGTGTGATGCGTCTAGTCCTCTCTTTGGTGCAGACTGAATTCTATCAGTCAGGTTGTAATGTGGCCACCATTCTAGGTAGCTCGCCATCACGGTGTACATTGTTTGTGATGATATTAGATGGTTGGAGGCAATCGCCAGGAAGCCGATGTATACCGTGATGGCGAGCTACCTAGAATGGTGGCCACATTACAACCTGAATGATAGAATTCAGTCTGCACCAAAGAGAGGACTAGACGCATCACACTAGTTACTAGTGTCAAATCAAAACAACTTATCTTTCCTGTCTTCGTAACATGCATACATAATAATAACCACTTTATTCCAAATACTAATAATTATACAGAATGGGATTTCCAACGTATTGCAACAATTTAGCTTTTATAACTATGCATAAAATTTAAAGTAGTAATAATAATATTAATAAATAAACCACTATAAACCGAATGTTGGTGGAAACATAATGAAATATAGGTAGATAGTATCATAGATAATACATGTAATAGTAACCTTCGCTTATACTATGCAGTTCAATTACTGATTTAAAAAGTTCATAAGTTCTTTCCTGATATCTGACTCTTCACACAAAATCCCTGTTAAATATGGTATGGTAGGACTTTTATATTTAGTTGTACAAGCGTAAATCGTTATGAAGTTCCTTCTGGTTTTATCTGAAGAGATACACGGAGAAAGTCGAGAATAAAGAGAATGTTCAATATCAGATAAGATAACTTTAGCCAATTGTCTATTGACAATAATGTCAGTTAGCTGAGTCAAGGGCACACCACTAACCCTACTCACAACCTTCAGCGTTCTACGTAATATGACAAAGTCTTTTTTGAGAAGTCCAGGGAAGAATAGTGGCCAACAATAAAGGAGAATGAGCAGAATACATGAATTAACAAATTGTAAGAGAAGAGGTTGAGTTATGCCAGAAAGTCTCAACTTCTTTATGTAATAAGTTAAACGGAAAATTTTTCTTAGAAATCAACAGGATGTGAGACGACCAACAGAGATTCGAAGAGAAACTGATACTGAAATGAGAGATATTCGATTTATTCCCTATCATCACAGTGCCGTCTATATTACAGGAATCATGAGACTGAATGAGTCCACACAAGTCTTGTTCGCATCTGAAGCTAAAATCAACAGTATGACATTTAGACAGATTTAATTTAAGACCATTTGTCAATTTCAGACAAGTATTTATTCATATAAGAACAATCCATAGCAGAAACTACTGAGACAGAAATAGCAAGATCATCGGCATATGATTTAACGATGTTAGCTTTGGAAGAATATAGAAGGGCATACAATACTGTTTTAAGCAGCATTAAAAAAAGTATTATAATTTTTCAAAACATTCTGTATACGGTTGTACATACAGTATACGGGCCTATTGCTTGCTAACCCTTATTAGTGAGTAGTATGTGCGACTTCAAGGAAAAAATATATTTTTAGTGGATGAATGCTTCATATGTGCTTTAAAGTGGTCTAGAGTGGTGCGATACTACAGTGAATGATAAGCTGTTCATTCATTTTCTGTTCATCGGAAGTCTTCAACTATCGACCAGGTGATAAACGTCGGTAAGCGCATTATTGTAATGCAGCTTTTTGTCTCGAATGCTTATAAGCGTCCAATTCAGCATGCATTTCAGGTATATTGCATAACCTTCTTACTAGAATCGATTCTTTGTTATCGGTTAACAATTGGTTTCTTTCATGTTGCTGTCCATATTTGTTACAGTGATAACGGTAGATAAAATATAGGTCGTAATCTGTCGAGGAATAGTCACAACTATCATCGTCATTTTCGTAGCAAGGCAGTAGACTAGACTGTAGCCTAGTAGTAGACAAGTAGCCTAGAGGGTGTGAAAACACACAAAAACAACCAATCACGTTCAAGGTCACCCACCAGGAGAGATGATCAATAAACTCGTGGAGAAATCTAAAAGCTCACTTCAACAAATTGAAGTATGCGCTGAAGATGTTGCCTAGTGGTGGGGCAATGAAAGCTTCGCAAATAAACCATCCAGCCAGCTCAGAGAACACAACTACATCAAAATCATCCACCTGAGCTACAAATCTTCTCCATCATATCTAGACTAGACTGTGTTATCTGATCTAATTATTGTAAATTGAGTAGTAACTTGTTTTGAAAAAAGTGTGTACGCCTTAATTTGTAGTCAAATGCTTAAATCAGTAAACTGAAGTGTTTGTTTTTTTGCTTCTTATTTGTTCCCTCCTCTTAACCGTTTCTTGACTAAACAGTTATAACCTGTGTTTATGTTATGCGTCGTTATGCATCACTGGAATCTTAAGTGTTCATTACATAATACAGAAAACTAGTGCAGGGAAACGTTTTGCATACATTTTTTTATACTTTTCCTTACAACCATCATTTTAGATAAATTCCAATATTTTTGTTTTTTTTATTTGATCGTTATTCTCTCTGTCTCATGTCACAGTTATTTTTCTCATTATATTTCCTAATAGCGCATTTCCGTCATTTGTTACCAAATTCCCTGAACAAGCTAATACATTTTTACAAAATCTTGATGCTCAGAAGCGTAAACTCATTGAGAAAGATTTAATTGCAGCAGGATTATCAGATTTCATCAGTTCTGGGGATACAACATCCTCTAGAAGTCAATTAGGCAGTCAATCGAATTTGGCAAATCAAAGCACTAGACGACCAGCTCGACCTGTGTTAGGTACCAGTTCATTGGCGAATAACACAAATCGTAGTCGTCCACCTCTGACTAATCAGAATGAATTTAACACAGGTTAGTATCAGAATGCTGTTTTTCATGTTAATACTGGGTCGTATTTTATGCAGATTTACTCACGGAATTACCCCCACCTATCTATCAAGTTGACATATCAACTTATCAAATTTCTCTGGTTCCTCCAATGTATTTTTGGAATGCATATATATATGGTTCAATTTTTTTTATTATTTTCCACTCAACGATGATATGCTCAAAGAAATGACCAGTCTACATCAAAATGAGCTTATTATAATACCTTATCACTTTTGAAGTTCTAACTGTGCTATGGAGATAAATTCGTGATTCTGTTACTTCATTGACTGACTTCATTTCTTTTGTGATAAGGCTTTATGCATTTACCGTTACTGTACAAGAATAACGTAGTTCCATTTATTACAGTAATTCTAGTTATTTAACCTTTCTTAGTGTCCTTGGGCTCTTGGAATATTGTCTGTCTGTTTGTTTTCAACATAGAACTTTGCACCAATGTGCGGCAGTTCAAGTCGCCACACTCCATGTAGCACACAAAACAAGAGAAGAAAGTAGGAGAAGTGCATATTAGAGACAGTAAACAGAGGTGTGAGACAAAGGAATAGTAATAACGAAGAACAAAACAGTTTAATTGGATATCATAAGTCACAAGGAGTGGATGCATCTGCGCTGTCATTGAGAACGATTTTGAGCCATGTCACCAATTGTTTCCAAGCATTGGTTTTTACCGTCCCGAGGACCCCAACCAGTCAGGAAGTCTACACCTTCCTATGTGGCTTAGACTAACTGTTGTAGATTTCATTGACTGGTGCCATGTTTTGGTTTGACCGCCGCTAGTTCTTTTCCAGTCTGGCGCTATATCAGCTAACATTACCCGTCGAGGAAGGCATATTAAAAAGAATAATATTAAAAACAATGAATGAAAATAGTGTTATAATTGACTGTGAGACAATCTAAGATAGTCTTGGATTGATGTGATAGGCGATAATCGAAGGTAAGAGGAAAATCTCACTGGCTTCTGATTTACTGGTGTGATGATAATGTGACGGCAATGTATCATATCATTCATATTCACCTGGCGAATCAATGTGCTGCTGATTCGAATTCTGTAACCACCTTGACTTTCATTCCACTTTCAAATCATCTCTCAATACATCAATCAGTATGTAATGTAATACCGATGTTGTTTTGATACATTCTCTTCAGTATAACATATGACGGTAATAGGAAAAATGAATAAAATCCATGTAGAAATGATGGAGAAGATTTGTAGCTCAGGTGGATGATAATTGAATTGCATAGCTCTCATTGCCTTTATAGACGACATTTGTAGCTCTAAATTAAAGACGAATTGGAATAGGTGGCTGTAGTTGTCTAAATGTATATTCATGGATGCGAAGACGATGATAACGTTCATTTTGATGATCAATTTAATGTTTCTCACATCTGCTGCAATTTATCTTGTAGATGACGTCAGTTCTATATTCTTTTATTGTTTCATCTTCTTTTACCGACATAATACAGACTGTGAAGGGACTTGTTGGCTTTTGGGTAACATATTTAGTCCAAATGGTTTCATTAGTCTTGCAGTGATTTCAGAAATGTTCTTCATTTGTAGCTTCACAGTTTTTCTTGTGCTTTCTTTGATTGACTTTGAGTTTATCGGTTGGAATTGAGAGTTGGCATCTTCTGATGTGAAGTTCCGTGGATATCTATTTTTTGTTGTTGAAATTTTGGCCTAGGAAAATGTACAAATCGTAGAGAAAGGAAACACCAAGAATGTCAGGGAATTCCTGAGAAGCTTGGTACCCAGATCAGTTTCTAATCAACAGATATTGATATAGGTAAAATAAATCAAGCAGTGAAAAATAAGTCACATGGATAGAAGTTAAGTACACCACATCAACAACATAATCAATACTATTAGTTGTGAACAAGAGGATAAGAAAATCTCCGGAGACAACCAGTCACATTCAAGTTCATCTGAAGAGACGGTTATTATTTTTAAAATTTTTGATTATAGCTTGATTCGACACCGTATTTTTTGTACAAGTATGGAATTTTCAGCATGTGATATCGGTAGCCCAAATTTTGCACACCGACCATTGATATCGGATGTGCGTCGGCAGGGGATCGAACCTCGGACCATGTGCATGGTCGGCAAGAGTCATAACCGTTGTACCACTGACGCACATATTCATAGACAAGCCTTCAAGCTCATTTCATCTTGAATTTAGCTCTGTAGATGTTATCTACCTTAGAGCCATTTGTAGATGGGTCATCAATATATTGCTTGATGACAAGCTTCATTCATTACAAGGTCCACTGCAGTCATGATATATTTAGTTTTTTATATAGGATATATATTCAATGTTTAGTTTCCTGTTCACTCTATTACAGTTGGCCGTTATGTTCGTCAGGGTTCAGTTGTTTCTGGTTATGATGGTCGAGCGCGTCAGGCTGGAAAAAAACTAGTCTCACAATCACAACGTAAGTTACTTTCTACAAATACTGTGTCCAAATAATCGTTACAGTGAACTTTTTATGTAGTTTATATTTACATTAAGTAATATCTCCACATTTCCAATTTTATCTTCAACTGAGTATATCTGCTCTCACTGTTGAAAATCAAATAATGATGGAGATTTTTTACTACTGTGCATAGTAGTTAGTATTAGGTTTTTCACCCTTAGTGCAATGCAAAATTACAAATACCTTATTGTTCTAACTGTATCACAGCTAAGTCCCCTTGGTGTACGTGCATGAATTAATAATTATGATAATAGTTCTTCGTTTTATTTCTCATTGATCATTTCTGATTTACTTCTACACATCGAACTATAATATTTTTTTGAAATTATTATCATTAAAACTATGCTGTGCATATATATACATGTCAAAAATGAACAGCTGATTAATCTGGTGTACGTTTGAATAATGCATATTATATATATAATAACTAGTCACATGCTTTTTTATTGATTGTTTTATTCTGCTGCATAGTATTAAATTACTGAGCCGTTGAGCATATGATATGCACGTTACTGTGAGGGGTATATATGTGGCGACAGTGATAATGACTATTCGAGAGTTCGATATATATATATTACTCCATCAAGTATCAAGCGCAAAAGTTGGGTTTACGATTAAATTATCGTTTCATATTTCATATGGGGGTGTGTGAGATACTGTGAGAACATTCAGGTTGTTGTCTTCAGAAACCACTCGCTGGGTTTGATGCACAAGGCAGCACATATGTTTCAACTGTTTTGCTAGGATAAAAATGGTTCCTCCACCATTTGTGTGTTATCATTGGAGGTTAGTGCCCATTTGGTTTGGAATCAGTTTCTGACCTCCCCCCTTAGGTAGATATTCTCCTTGTACACCAGTCGGTGACGTACAGTGCCGCATGAAAACACTGGACAGAACCTACTAATTGACTGAGCCTATGAACTTATGATTTGGTCTTATTTTTGAATGAGTTCTCTCCTCCACACCAGATTATTTTTACTTTGATTTTTAAATAGAAATTTTGTTTTGTTCACATAATGTATATTTAGCCTTAGTCAAATCGATGGATATGTTATATGAAATGAGAAGTGTGATCGGTCAGTGTATGATAGCAGATTTCCCTGTGCCAATTGGATTGAGAATATTGCCTGATTATGCATCGTTTGAACAACCATACGGACAACAACAAAATAATGTTGGGGAGAATTTCTTAGAACTGAATGAAGACTCGCAGTCACTTGATATGACTTCATTAACTTCCTCTGATTGTACTAGCAACACAGGGACAACGACCACAACAACTAATACCACTCATAATCCAGATAACAGTGTGATAGTGCCCAGTGGTAATAACTTTCGTTAGTTATTATTAAGTTTAGTCTTTCATTCTCAAGATCGTTTTGTTTATCGAAGTGTTCTGATGATGATCAAGAGAATTTACCTTCATTATATATCGTTTTTACTATGTCTTCTTTTTCTCCTAGCTACCAGTCGTGAAGTCTCGCCTTCACGTCTAGCCTATTTTGCTTATGGCGCTGGAAACGCAGCATCGAACAATACATCAAATGACACACAAAAAGTCCCAGTAAATTCTTACACTAATAACCGTAATGGTGGAATCGGATTGGACAATGCAGAGCGTAATCGTTTTGGCTTAACTTCACGTGTTCCTCGTAGCCAGGGTGCAAGTCGTGAACCGTCTCCTACTAGATCAACAGCAAGCGGTTATACAGTGTCCTCATTTCAGCATAATAATAGTATACAGTTGTCTGGAGCTAGCGGGATAGGACAATTGAATTATCGTAAACAACAGAGACGTAAGTCGATATCAATATTTTGTTATTTTGCGTTTTATGCGTCTTTAGCTTCTTAAGACATCATAGATATGTTATGAAAATTTTTTTCAAAACTATAATCATAATTTTACCAGTTTCGTCATTCGATTTAAATCCTCTTACTAAAAAAAGTGACCGTTTGATCTTAAAGTTTCAACTAAAAGAAGCATATCACTTTGATTTTTCTTCAAAATTGGACAGAGTACATCAGTAGTATGGCAAGAATAAGGGCGATGTAAACGAATAAGGTAGGACAGTTGATGAATAGGGAAATCGTTTGTATTTATGCCACTAGTAACGTGTCTTGGATCGATACAATTCTAATTAATATTCCTTCAGAAATATGCTTTAAGTGAACATTCTGTATGCTTTACAGATAATAGCTTTATTCCAAACAGTACTTTCGGCACAAATATGGAATTTTCAGCATGTTATACAATATTGCATCTAATTTTCTCATTACAGGGGCAATAATTATAAAATATGGTATTTACATTAATAATATTGTTCAATAAGAAGCGAAAATGAAATAAAAATTCCCTGTCTTAGTCTTACACTTTCCTCATCACATAAAAGGTGTGCCAAATAAGGTATCGTAGAGTTTTTGCACTTAGTCGTCCCAGCATACAGTCTTCTTTCTATAAAGTTGCTTCTAGTTCCCCTACCTGATGAGATGCGTATGGCAAGAGTTGTGTATATAGAGAGGGTGTTCAGAGTCTGACAGGATAATATTTGCTAATTTCTTGCAGAAATCCAAGTGTCTATCTGCAATAGTATTAACAAGTTGATTTAGCAACACCCCACTCACCCTACTGACGGCTTTTAGTGCCCTACGCAGTCTTTCGTAAGTAGCCCGGGAAAGATTAAGGAGGAACAGTAAAGAAGATGGGCAGAAAAGGAGAATTAACAAACGGTAACAGTGGAGACGGAATGATTCCAGATCATCTTAACTTCCTTACATAGAACGTCAAACAAAATATCTTTCTGGAAAATAACATGATGTGGGAAGACCAGGAAAGGTGATCAGAGGAAAATACACAGTCCAAGGTATTTAACATTCGATTTGGTTTTCAACTTCAGTGCTATCCACGATAGTGGAACCGTGCGAATTGACCAGTTCATGTAAGTCGCACTTGAGCCTGAAAGTGAAATTAACCACCTGACATTTGGAGGGATTAGGCGTAAGACCATTTGACGAAGAACACTGATTAATTTCTGAAAAAAAGTTACTCATTTTGGAACAGTCTGACTGAGAAGTAACCACCGGCAGAGAAACAGTCAGATCATCGGTATATTTAACAAAATTGGCTTCGTCAGGAGCTTTAGTGAATTTTTTTCTCCATTGATATTTTGTTACAATTAGTTTTTATAAATTGATGAGATCATCTATAATATGGAGGGAACAGATCATTATATATATATATATATATATATATATAAACATCCTGTGATGGAAATTTTACCACAAACCATATCAGGTCATTATTAACGAGCATAAGAAATGGATTATATGCATGAAAAGACTGACTGACAGATGATTACTAAGATGCACCTGTTCAGTGCTAAATATGTTGCACTAAGTTTGTCGGTCGAGATGATAAGGCGACCAATAAGATACTGGATTGCATAATTTACCATTTTTTTTAGATATTTGGTAATGAGTGTGATGTGAGTAAAAACAAATCTATAGATTTTCATAGGTTCACTGGTTCTATCAAAGTTTTCGAGTGAAATCTACAGTATCATCTCATGTTGTATTACACTACTTCAAAGAACCTTCTATACCCTAAAAAAGTGCTGAATCTTAGGTTGGGAACTATTTCTAGGTGTCTGTGTATGTGTGCAAATGCACTCTACGGCTTAGAGATATAACTGAATGGTTAGTGGCTTATAAGCTTTCGAACTGATTGAATTGACACATAAATTTTAAAAAAAGATCATAAATATACAAGAATATATACATGTAATCGTTACTGGGACTAATATTTCTTTACCTGACTTTCCGTTTTATTTATTCCAGCATCTCTCGGTACGCTTAGCGATTGTGGTGATCTTGGAGATGGGGTTAGTATTTTGTATTTAATTCATTTTAATAAAATTTTATTATTATTATTATTATTATGGTGTTTTGTTGCACCGTTCTCTAAATTGCTTAACGCAATTTTACGCCATGTCAAATGTTTAACTACTCACTCCTACGATTTTTAAGCAGTCAGATAGTGGGATACATTTAATTATGTCTACGTGGAGCAAAATCAGAATATTATTTTTATCCTTAGTATATTACACATATATTTATTTGCTTTCAAAAGAATGGACACGGAACAAAGAGTACTCTTTTCGATAAATTCATCATCAGGCTCTACAATTATAATGAATGAATGAATTAGTCTTATGAACGACATTAATGTTTAAATAACATCAAATCAATAATATTGATAAATTACAGCTGAACAGCATCAACATAAAATAAACTGAATGTCAGAAGAATTAGGAAAGGTAATAGTACAAATTCATGAGTTTATAGTCTCTACTGAGGGCCAGGGCAGTAGTAGGGGCTGGACTTGTTTCTTTTGGACACAGAGCACTGGTTGTTTGAGGCGAATTGCAATAGCCTCTGCTGTTTGGAGCATGCGGTGCTTCGATGATTTTGGTAATTTGTTAGGCACCCGGTATATTATAGAGAAGGATTCTTCTACGCTGGCTTTGTGACCGGTTTGCACCAGATGGTCTAATATCGAGCTGTTAATAGTTTTAACTACACCTTTACTTAGCCATAGTGGGATATGTTCTCGAGTGAGCACGAAAAATCAAGTTCCTAGAGCAACGGCCAATATAACTCGCTCCACAAGCGCAGTTGAATTGATAGATACAATTTGAAGTGGCTAGTCTAGGTACTTCATCTTTCAGTCGAGGTAGCACCATCGGTCGTGTAGAGAATAATACGTGTAGTTCGCCAGCATTAAAAGTTCTTTGAACTGATTTTCTTAATTTCTTCGTAATTATCTCGCTTGGTATATCGCCCATGAATTGTAGTCGTATATATAAAGGCTTCTTGTTTACAGACAGTGAGTAGTCCTTTTCCGCTTTCTTTGTCATGTGTTTCTTGATAAATTTGTCAGGATAACCATTTTCGATCAAAGTATCATATACAATGCTTAATTCATCTTCAATTACTTCTTCTGAGCATATAGCTTTCGTTATTATCAACCATCTTTCAATACAGTGGAGAAAATATATCAGTCATGTGATTTGATTATTCAATATTTGGCAAATAAATATATGACATATTGCGTTACACTACAACCAGTGATTGATTTATAGCATCATCAACAGTTGCTGATTATGCATGATTCGTAGGTAGAAATGTTTAACTTTGACGATTCAGTTACAAGTTTAAGTGCTGCTCAACTCATAGGGTAACAGTCAACTTCCCCATATCAACAAGCAGGTATCAATGATAGGATTAGTTTTGTTCCAAGTGGGCAGAAATTAGTATGCAATCCATGAACCTGTGACTGAGTTATAGATTATAATATGAAAATTAAATTTATGCTGTGTTATGCTTGTGGTGAACACTGCTGAATTACAACGATAAGTTGTCTACTTGAGATTATTACCCATTGCGACCAAAATCTGCATATTTAACAGATTTCAAGAATAATTTTCTCTTTCTTTTTTCAATAATTCGACAGTATAGTTATTAGGAAAAGTGAAAGATTTCAGTTTTACGAATGAACCAACCATTTAAATTCAATCCTTTAAAAGATCCAGAATTTTTTATTGAACTAATTCCATATTCAATAAATCCGTTTGACATAACTCATTGTGATCCAGCATATAATTCACTGGATAGATGTTTCCATCATAATTTTATTCCTCATAAATCATATCAGGTCATTGGTTGACTAACTGGATGATACTAGATGGTTGGAGGCAATCGGACACAGGAAGCCTTCCATCTAGGTTTCGTGCTAGTTGGCACTCAAAAGAGATATGAGTTCCTTCAAGGTTGCTGACTGGTGAGTGACAACAAGCACGAAACCTAGGTGGGAGGCTTCCTGACGATTTCCTCCAACCATCTAATATCATCAAATCAATGTGCACCACCGTGATGGCGAGCTATCCAGAATGGTGGCCCTATTGCAAACCTGACTGATAAAATCCAGTCTGCACAGTCTAAACAAAGGACTACACATATCACACTAGTTACTCGTGTCCAATGAAGGCAACCTGATGATATTATTATTATGAACAGAAAATTGCGACTGAAACATCCAGTTAATTCTCAACCACAATTCTACTTTTACATGTGAACTAGTTTTGTAACAACAGAAGACAAGGGCCAGGCAAGAGATCGTGTATTAAGGAAAATCAACATATATTTATAGATTTTAATGTACATTATTGTAGATTATTGTTAGTAGAAAACGCAGTCTTTTGACTGGTTGTTTCTCACAGAAAGTTAACCTTGCATCTCTTTGTGGCTGACTGTGTCAGATCATCCATATGCTAACTGTATCCGCCTACGCAAAGCCTTCGTTCTCATTTTCTCACGACCAATATTGGGGACATAAACATTGACGTCAATTACTGTCTACCAACTTTGGCTAGCAGTCAGCTCTCACCACAGTTTATATGTTTTGCCGACTGATGTGTACTACTAACTTCAAGAATTAATATGGTAAAATAAAAAGCCTTAAATTGTTGAAAAGCGAGTTGAAAAAACTCATGTAAACACTGGAATTCCTATTGGTTGTGGAAACTCAAATGTCAAATATCGTAGATAACTAATCAATTGATTGGACAGTAATCAACATTTTTATAACATTATTTATTGTGCTGATAAAATACTTGTCGGATATTGTGTGAGTACATTAGAGGCATAGAGAAGAAAGAAGCCTTCATGAATTAAACCGTATTCTAATTTCTCCTACAGTAGTAGTGTGGTGAGAGCTGGCTGCTAGCCAAAGTTGGTAGACAGTAATTGACGTCAATGTTTATGTCCCCAATATTGGTCGTGAGAAAATGAGAACGAAGGCTTTGCGTAGGCGGATACAGTTAGCATATGGATGATCTGACACAGTCAGCCACAAAGAGATGCAAGGTTAACTTTCTGTGAGAAACAACCAGTCAAAAGACTGCGTTTTCTACTAACAATAATCTACAATAATGTACATTAAAATCTATAAATATATGTTGATTTTCCTTAATACACGATCTGTTGCCTGGCCCTTGTCATCTATTGTTACAGTAGTACAAAATATTTTTCTTTTTAGGCAAAGATTTTATTTTGAATAAATTATAGCTTTTAATTTGTTAGTATTATATATGACTTGATTATGCAGTCAATGATTTTAGCATTATGTGAGCATAATATTATCTTAATAAATATTCTTAAATAACTTTCTGTAGATCAGTAAAGTTATTGAAACGCGTGATTTCAATTCTATTATCAAAGCTAAATAAACTTGTGCTTACTGTGCTAACATTAAATGAACTAGTTGTTATACGCCTAAAATTATTTGTAAGCATATTCTTAAGAAAGAAAAATGGTTTTAAACTTCATGTGGAATGAAATGCTGCAGATGGAAAGCAAATAGCAATGTAATTTGTGCTTTATTGTTATTTTGAGATATCCACTGTTGAAGATATAAAGATGAAATAAGCACGTGTTCATTTCGCATACTCATATTATATTATTTTTCTCTTGGAATCTTGAAGTCAATTTATTTTTATACGAATTTGGTGAATTCAATTCATAATTTGCAAATTAATAGTTTGCAGTTTACACAGTTCGTAGTGAGATTATTCAGATCAGAATATGTGATCTGCTTGATGTCATAAATGGTAATGTAACCGATGGCAGCTCATGATGAAATCCTGTAACCATTCAATCAAATCCTTAGAAACCAATACTTGAATATCAATGAGATGTTCACTAGGGACTCGTCCTATACCTGGGGTTCTAGTGGGAAGTCGTGACCAGTAGGGTACAGCAGGTCGGGCGTGAGGACTAATATTCGCCGAAGACATTGCTAAGTGGTTGCGCTATGCTGTGAACTGACAGAAGTTGGGATTTATGGACTGGCCATTGGATCGGGTCCCAATGGCTTAATAGTCTAAGAGATCGCTAGCCTTCTAGCCATAAGGTCCTGGAGGTGGATGCTTACTGTTGAAGAGTCCCAAACTAATGAATCGAAACAGCTGTCCAGTACTCCTAGGTTTTCCAGTGGTTCTCTAACTGATGTCAGCTCATGATGAAATCCTCCAACAATTGCAAAATAATTTGCAAATTGTGAATCTGATTTAGGGTGAAACTAGGTCGCCCAAGTGGCTAGTCGAAGATCGAATGGTTTAAACTGATGTGGCTCTCTAAGCTGAGTCAAACTGGATCCACTGCGGATGAACTCAGCCCCAATGTAGTGAAATAACTGTCCAGTGTTTAGATCACTTCCATCTGGCAGGCCATCAAGTACTACTGGTTGATGTGATTGGTGTACAAAGTACTCATCTCAAGCAATCAATAGTGTATAGTTTTATGAAGTTAGTAGTGATATGATTACAAGGTGAAGGCGATATATATATATATATATATATGCATATTTTGTGAAAATATCTACAAGCTCGGTAATGAAATGCCCACAATCAAACAGCGAAGCTCGAAAAACACCAATCAATTTCTAGTCACATTGTTCTCCTTGTACATATTTTATGACTTCTTTTCTCAACTATACCGTAAATTTAGTGACTCCCATTTGAGGGTCAGTTGCGGTCTTCAGTGTCTGTTTCACTTAAAAAGTTCCTTATAACTAATACTTTATTGTTTTCTTACTTACTTCAGCCTCTATACGGTCGACATTACACAATTGGTAGTAATCGTGCTCCATATGGCTCAGATGATAATTTCAGTGAGACATCATCTCAGTGTTCTGAGCGTTCAGGTCGTTCAGCACCTGGTTACCGACGTCAGTCTACAACGAAGGTGACTAGTGTAAGTTTGTCTTATTTGTTTGTTTCTATTTATACCTAGCTAATAGTAAATGTTTGCATGTTATAGTTAGTAAATGTTGGCAATGAGCCAAAACTATTGTATGAGGAATAGTGATATTTTTTAGCTACTCAAAGTTCGGTAGCTGGGGTGGGGTTCAAACTCATGACCCTATGGTTGAGTTAAGCACCTAGACTAATGAATCACAGCTTCACACTGTATGTATATGAACAGCCATTATTTTGATAATCAATAATAGTAAGAAAGCAGACAATGATAATGCATTTATTTTTATTGTTGCACTTTATGATGAGAAGACTTATCGATAATGTCTGTAAAGAGTAAGCATCATACACTGTCGCCAGTCAGTATTTTTTCCCAATGTAATTAACATTTGTTCAGACGTATACATATATAAATATATCGTCAGCGTTTTTGGCTGGGAAGCAGTAGGTTGATTTCTAGTAATTATAAAGATTTAGATACCTTTTTCATGCATAGAGATGTTTTTGATTTTAATATAAATGTTGAATAATATATCTCTAGTTCTTATTGATCCATTTATCTTTCCTCTTTATTAAAAATCCTTCTTCTAGTTCATTACAATGTTTTATTCACTTAATTGATTTTCTCTCGCTGTGTTGTTCCGAATTTTTTGAAGCTTACGTCAGTCATCATAGCCTTATTAGCTTTATAATCCAGCATATTTGTATCGGATGACTGGTGGTAGTTAACTTCTATTTTTTTTAATAAGCTCACTTATCTTGTAACAATTTAACAGGGAACAATAGAGAACATTTTTTTTCCGATATTATCAACCTCAACTTGATTATTACACCTGTGTAAGTGTCATTAACGTGCGTTGGTGGCACAACGGTAGAATGCTCGCCGACCACGCATGTGGTTCGGTGTTCGATCCCCTGGCCAAAGCACTCCTTTACCTGGTAAAGAGGAAAGGTTGGGTATGAGGCTAGCAACACCATCCCACCATGTTTCACAGGAAACGTAAAGGAATAAAAAAAGGGTCATTAACATTAATGTGTTGTCACAAAATACGAATCTAAACTCTTTCCTTTACTTACTTAGTGGTTCAACGATTAGCAAAAAGTACTACAGTTATTCTTCACTAATATGAAATCACGGTTATATTCGCGTATTTAGCTAAGTTAAACTGACCATGATGTTGTTTAAGTATTTATTCTTTATCTCAAAGACGACAATTAATCGAATAAATCTTCCTCATGATAAAGGATTTTTAGCCATTCATCGATTCTTAGTACCGTTATAATTGTTGGAATTTTTCTGTTTAACTCCTCGTTAACTTCAGAAATTAGATAAATTAAGCGTTACCCCTTTTCTGAACTAGGAAGTTTCTGACTTGTTTTGTAGTATAAACTAAACTGAATTATCAACGCAGGACTGCACAAAAGGCGCGGCAGTTCAAGTTACTATGCTTCCTAAAATCACACATAAATGTAGAGAAAAGAAGTTCAACTCAACTAGGGGGAATAAAAATAAATGGAGAGAGAAGATAAGTAGATGAAAATTAGTGGGGTTGTTTTTTGGGACCCGGAAGATGGCAAAGAGTGAATACATACCAACGAATTTGAACCATGTTACCAACAATCTCCAACCGTATAAGGAGTGCAATAATCGAACATCTCGTCACCACTAATCATTCTATCTCAACAAACGCCTCCTGCAAAGTAATCTATAAAGTGAAGAACAGCCTGCCAAAAACAATACGTTTCCATCTTCTTTTCATTGCAGAAGCCCTAGCTATTTAGTTAAAAAAACCCAGCACTATGCATACAAATGAAAATTATCCAGCCACTTCTACTATCATGGCAACAACTCTGTTGATCTGACTCAACTTTTGCTTGTTTTTTTGTTTTTCTACCTACTTAAAACTCTTACGCAACTCCATATTTTATTTTGTTTCCATGTTCACCCTGAGCACAACTCTTTCACTTAACTATTCATGCTGTTACGTAACTGTTCTTTAAAAATCGATCATGACAACTCATCACTTTTGTTACTACCCTCTTATATCAGTATCCAATTCCTCTGAATACTCTTCGTATTACGTAATACCACCAAAAACTTGCTGATTGTATTTACGTTTGGCAAAGTTAATGTACACACACATACAAAATAACCATATGTTTATATATATATATATATATATACAATTGCACAGCTGTGAAAATGAATTCGTTGAAAAGAGACTCTTCGCTGAACTACTGGTCTTCTCACCAACCATTTACTCTTAACAACCTGTGGATCCTAACCCGACAGCCTACTCCTCTTTTATGCTGCTAAGTTCAGTAGTTAGAGACTTCATGGATTAGTTCTACGTTTTCATCTAATCGCCCTTGAATTGTTTTCCAACTTAATCCTATATAGACAGTCGGTAGCTCAGTGTGAGTAACACAGTATAACTCATATTTACTTAGCAATATGTGATACCATTACTTTTAAATTTTGTTCTCAAATTTCTTTATTTCAGAATTTGAAAGAGATAATTTCCCAACTTCAAGCAGTTCAATGGTCTGATAGAAAGGATGGTTTGACAAATTTACAGAATTATATGCGTTCTGGATACCCACTAAAGTGAGTGATACAGGAGAATAAGTTACCTTATACTCTTCGTAATTTTAGTATATTCTACCTAAGGTAGTGTTCTTTTAAACATCATATGCTGTAGTATGTACTCATTTTGCTTGACTTGACGGTCGGTCGGTTTTCGACATAGAACTTTGCAGATATGTGCGGCAGTTCAAGTCGCCACACTCCATGTAGCACACAAAGCAAGAGAAGAAAGTAGGAGAAATGCATAATATAGACAGTAAACAGAGGTGTGAGACAAAGGAGTAGTAATAACGAAGAGCAAAACAGTTTCATTGGAAATCATGAGTCACAAGGAGTGGATACATCTGCACCAGCCATTGAGAACGATTTTGAGCCATGTCACCAATTGTTTCCAACCATTGGTTTTTACCGTCCCGAGGACCCCAACCTAGAAGTCTACACCTTCCTACGTGGCTTAGACTAACTGTTGTGGATTTCATTGACTGGTGCCATGTTTTCGTTTGACCGCCGCTAGCTCTTTTCTAGCCTGACCCTATATCAGCTAACATTGCCCGTTGTCGAGGAAGGCGATGACTAGGCATACGTAACACATGTCCTAACCATCTCAGTCGATGTAATTTCACAGTCTCGTCGATTGATTTCCCCGCCTATCTGTAGATCAATAGTTTAAGCACCTAATCTACCTCTAATTAGTTGTAGTTCAAAACCATAAGCTAACCACTGGGATTTGAGTAAACCTTCAGCGTCAATAATCACTAAACAATACTTGTAAGTAATCCCCAGGTACTAAATCAATCTGAAAGTATGTGTTCAGTCACACTACATGCGTGGCATAGTGATCTGGTATTATTGGTAAGATTTAAATTCAATGCACTGAACTCTAAAAGACGGTTGGTTAAAATGACTGAAATTCAGCAGATAAAACGTTTTATTTATCGACGAAATCCAATTTTCATTTGTCTTCCGGATTTAAGGGAAAAAAAGAAATTAAAAAAAAAACATAGTAACAGTTGTTAACTTTTTTAATTGATTCAATTTCCTAGTTTAATCCTGCTTTGATGATTGAAAGGTTATTACATAAACTTATCAAGCTGGATCATTATTATAGACATATTGATCGGAGTTCATAGAAGAACTGCAATCATTGTTCGAAACATCTAAGTGATGTATTTAAAAAAAGGAATTTTTATTTCGCTACAGGTACACCTGTACCATGTATAAAAGAAAAGGCGTTCAGCGAAAAGTTAATCTTTTCGGCGATATCATTCTCAAGCTGTACAATCGCATATGTATATAGTAAATTCTCTTAGCAACAAAATGAATACTTCCAAAGATTTGTTGTCATAAGAATTGTAGATTTTAGGTAACAAATTACGTGATGTAGAAAGCGTTAATCGGGTAGAAACTAAAGTGAAATTATTAGAATTGTAAGTTTTAGATTTTGGTTGATTGGTTAGAAACTAAAGTAAGATTAAATAAGCAAGTTGAGTGACGTAATCTAACTGACGGTGTTGAGTAGAGCTCAACTAAAATTTACAATTGAACAAAAGTCAAGTCCACAACAGTGGCAGACATTTAATAACAGGGTGGGGGGCGGGGAAGAGAATATTATACAACTAAGAAACCAACAAGCAAGAAAAAGACGAAACAAAAATTACGTATTTGGTGTTAAGATGGGTCAGGTCCACTGCAGATTTAATGACTGAACAAACTTCTTTTGTATGTAGAGTTCAGGTTTCAACATGTGAATTGCCATTGCTTCTGCAGTTTGAAGAAATTTGATTCGTACTCTTTTAGTAAGATTCCCAGGCATTCTGTAGATGACTTTGAAGTTACTTTGTGGGTTAGCTTGGTGTCTTGATTCGATCAGGTGTTCCAGAATGGAGCTTCAGGGGGACCTATTTTCTCCTTTATAAAACCATGAGGGTAAGTGTTCGATGATAGGTTTCGATAGCAAACGCTGGGTGCTGCCGATATACCTAGCTCCACACTAGCAGGTGAATTGGTAGATGCACATTAATGAGACCAATAGTAATAGCTTATCCTTCACGTTTATGTGAATCATTGGTTTCGTAGAGAAGGTTAGTCGGAGTTCAGTCACGAAGAAGGTTTTCTGCAGTGAGCGAGGCAGGCGGTTCTCTCCTGGATTTTCCGCTGATGAGTCTCCGATGAATAGTAGATTCAGGTAGAGAAATATTTTGGAAGCAGAAAGTGTGGTCGGTTTAGGTTTCGTAGGTTTTGTGATGAAACGTTCTGGGTAGCCATTATCGAGATGGATTCTCTTCAGAGTGTTTAGCTCCTCTTCCATAGTGTCAGGGCTGCAAATTTTGTGGCTCAGTGAATGGACTTAAAGGGACATCCAACTTTAAAAATATTCATTTTGTTGCTAAGATAATTTACCACGTATATGCGATTGTACATCTTGAGGATGGTATCGCCGAAAAGAGTAACTCTTCGCTGAGCGCTTCTTCTTTTACATGACTCAATGGGAATTTTTAATTAGTACCATATGTGATTGTTTCTTTTTCATTTCTTCTTCATTTGACTAACTACCATTTTAGATTTGTTTATATGCGTTGTATAAGAGATTTTACCATGATTCAACAGTCTCTGTTCATACTTATCTACCCATATATTTGAAGAGACTTTCAACTTTATATTTCAATAGTTGGATTTTGACTAAGATTTGACTGTTGCACCACTAATAGTTTGTTGAATTATATGACTGAAGGTTCGCGTGAAACATTTCAGAATAACCATTTATTTTTATCTAACGTTTCCTTAATAAACGCATCCTGTTTAAGTGGTCGATAACAGTATATACTCCTCTATATTAAGAATACTAAAATATTTACCAGTACTTCTTATACCTTTCTAAAAGCTACAGCCTATTCTTCATATAGAGCACCCACTGTTATCAAAAGTAATTCTTGAATGACTCTGGTGATACCCTTCTATGTGAATTTGTTAGATTACAAATTATCGCAAGAAATTCAGGAGATTTATGTCACCTTATGACCTGGTGGTCTCAAATCTTATTTCTTGCGATGTGATTGGTTCTCATTGTTTTTAAGAGTCTCGAACTAGTACGAAGCAGTACACTTTGCTTTTCAACTTTAATACGGGATTTTACTTAAATCCGAGTCAATAGCATGCTTAACCTGCTTTAATAAGCCACTTTATGAATCAATAAAATGTATTATTAAATCAGTAGGTGCAGTTGACTGTATTTTCTATTACTAACCGTATAGTTCAAGTATTGGTTTGTAGGGATTTGATTGATTGGTTACAGGATTTCACCATGAGCTGACATTGGTTAGAAAACAATTGGAAAACGTGGGAGTACTGGAGAGCTGTTTCGTCCTAGTTTGGGACTCTTCGAACCCTGGCGGGTGCGTACTGATGAAGAGCCACAAACTAGGACGAAACAGCTGTCCAGTATTCCCAGGTTTTCCAATGGTTCTCTAACCAATGGCAGCTCATGGTGAAATCCTGCAACCGTATAGTTATATTGTTTTATATAATTATAGCAATACAATACAGCAGTTATGTGTATATATGAACACTTAGCTCTGTACATCATAATTATTACTTATAAGGCTAGCTTATAGTGATATTTGGACCAAATGAGTCGTTGCTGTTCACTTTTTTTAAATTTCTATGCAATTCATATTTTTCACAACTGTGTCAGTACAGGAGTCGCTTCAAAAAGTTACTTCCAACATTTCGTTCTAACTTTTCTTTTTTTGTAGCCCTGATGATATTCGTTGTTTGACAGAAATCTTTTCAAAAATGTTTGCAGATTCTCAGAGTAAAGTGAGTTTTTCCCCTTATTTTGTGATATGTGCTGTCTTTCCAACATGTGTTTTGTAAAGTGACCTATCTTAACAGTATATTCCTCACATTCTCCTGCACTAGTCAAATTCTATAGATTCTTAACTGTATAATTAGTAGACTGATGAAGTTTTTTCCAACATGCAACGATTCTCAATTGTTAACTTTTATTATGACTCCGTTTCATGGATTGTTTTTTGAATTTTCTTGATACTTTTTCTCGGTATTTATTTTCGTTTTATCATCAATAGGTTGTCAGTTTATTTATGGATACATTGCAATTCTTTATCAAAGAATATAATCCTTTACTCCGTGATTGGTTATATACTCTTTTAATTCGCTTATTATATCGTCAAAGTCATGAAGCTTTGAGTAGTCATCAAAAAGCTATCCAAGAAACACTTTTTGTCCTCAGGTAAGAGATTTCTCCTTGTTGATAACTATTCTATCTATTCTTATTACATCACCAGTGGTTACTGTGTATATGATGTTGCTCAAAAACAACTTAAATATACTTTCAACGAACGATTTTATATTAAGATGGTGCATATAAATTGTGCAATTAGTCATAATAATAATGGTTCTATCGATAATAAGGATGAAAAATTGAGGCGATCTGTGATAACAAGAAAAACGGAAAACAGCATGATTAAACAAACAAATGTTCAGGTAGAAGTAGTCGATAAAGGCTAAGAAAAATAAATGAACCTATTAAGTAATGTTAGATTGTAAGGGAAGTAAATGAAATACGTTTTTAATGATGTGATAAGATTAAGGGATGATAAGAAAGGGGTTGAAAATATAAACAACGGGTGGTGTTGAAGTCATTAGTTGGTTATGTCTTAATAGGCCAAGGGAGGGATAATGGCTGCACGAACTTCTTTTGAATGCATAGTTTGGGTTTAATAGTTCGAATGCCTATCGCCTCAGCTGTGTGCAGTAAACGAATACGAAGTCTATTAGGTGGGATACGATGAATTACCTTGAAAGCTCTCGTTTTCTCCACTATATGACCACTATCAACTAAATGTGACAAAATTGACCTACGGATTGTTTTTGTCTGTCCTTCACCAAACCACGATGGGAGATGTTCAGTAACAACAAGTTGGCTAAGCTGTCTAGAAGTACGCCCAATATAACTGCCACCGCAGGTACAGTTGAACTGATAAATGCACATAGATGTGGCAAAGCTATCTAGCTTATCCTTTGTTTGCATCCCAATCATTCGTCGGCTAGAGAATGACAAACATAGGTATGCTGCGTAAAATGTTCTTCGTATACTCCTGGAAAGTCTCTGGAATAAAATCTCACTTGATAAGTCACCATTAAATTGTAACTCAATAAATAGACGTTTTTTACGTGCAATCATTGTCTCAGGTTTTCTTTCTGATATTTTCATTTTATATTACAATTAAGCCTAAATGAACATCAGATCATTACATTAAGTTGGCTGGATTACTCTTGACAATAGTTAGCTGTTCACCTTATTTCCATTTCAACTAGATTGTGTATGAGGAATTTTATTTTAGTAAAACTGAACTGAGACTATGTTTACAGTCGATTTCCATCCTTTTTTTCTCGTCTTTGAGCTGATTCTAATTCCCTGCATAAAAGTATTAGAGACCTAACTGATTAGTGTTTCGCTATTACGAGGTGGGGTTGCTAGCCTCACCCCCAAGTAAACTAGGTGAGGTCTAGCAGTGCGTCAGCCGCGAATCATACCCGGGCGATGAGAAATGTATACTTACCATAGAAGAAAGCTATAGTTCATTGGTTCTGAAGCTCTATTTCCAAACATTGGATCACAGTTTCGAAGCCTGCATTATCTAGCTGAGTTTAAGCAACCAGGAAGTATTATAAGCTATCGCGGAGTAGTAGGTGTGAGTCTTCACCATAGTGCTTACAAAAGGCTTTTAATGAATAAAATAAGTAAAGGATGCGAAATTAAGTTGAATTGAATCTCGCGCTGTCAACTACTTTGAGGAATATTTTTCGAATGATTCAATAAACTAGGCAAGTTGTCACTTTTATCAATAAAACACATATTATCATCTTTCAAATAGAAATGTCTCTTTTTCTCCCTTCAGATCTCACTTCCCTTTAAATTTACAATTCAATAGTTGTTGTCATTTCATTATGGATAATGCACACACGCCAAATTTCCGTGTGAAAACATGTCTATTAGAGTATATGAAAGATTTAATATTAATGATGAGTCCCGATGCTATTGCAAATCCATCGAGTGAAGTAACCAATGCAATCGGAAGAATTATTAGCTGGTCTGGAGAACCGAAATCAGCTGATGTTCGTCGGGTTAGTCTTCCTCTCACCTTTTATCCTGTACTGTATGCACAGAATCACTTGTATATTATCAGCAAATTATTAGTGTTTTAATTAATAAAACAAAACACGTAGATCAGCGAAGAGTCTCTTTTCGGCGAATTCATTTTCTTAGCTGTATAATCGCAAATGTATATGTGTTACTTTGTACGTATGTGTACATTAAGTTTGTCAAGAGTAGGATCACATCATCTAAGAATAGTGTTCTCCAGTCGCCCACTGATCTGCAGAAGCCTTAAGGACAAGATCCCGCACCTGACCACCTCTATGTGCATATATCAGTTCACCTGCTGCTGTGGAGCCAGGTACATCGGTCGTTCGACGCGCACCCTGTCCAAGAGGATTCAAGAACACTATCCAGCATGGTTGCGAAAAGGCAATAGTGGTGCAATAAGGAGTGCGATAATTAAGCACCTGGTTAACACTGATCATTCCATTTCAACAAACGCCTCCTTCAAAGTAATCTACCGAGTCAAGAATAACCTACCAAAGGCAATACACTTTCGTCTTCTTTGTATTGCTGAAGCTCTGACCATTCACATAGAAAAACCGGAGCTATGCATACAAAAGAGGATTACTCAACCACTTCTACTGTCATGGTAACAACTTTTTTATTTTGATGACTTGATTTTGTTTCTTTGTCTGTTCTTTTATTGCTTATAATTCTTGTATTCATTTAGAAGTCTTACTTAATTTCGTACTATCTACTTTTTTCCTATGTGCATCCTGAGTAAAACTCACTCATCAAACTATTCGTACTACTACATAATTCCTTTTTAACAACTGTTTGTGACAACTCATCACTTTTGATACTAACCTAATTTCATTAACACCTAATTTTTTTGATTTGTATTACCAATCTTCACCTGCTTAGTTAAAATAACCATAACCAATTGTAATTTTGTTTGACAAACTTAATGTACACATACATACAAAATAACACATATACATATGCGATTGTACAGCTAAGAAAATGAATTCGCCGAAAAGAGACTCTTCGCTGATCTACGTGTTTTGTTTTTATTAATGCCTGGATGGGGATTATCCATGAATTTTAATTAATATCCCTCCTTTAGGATAGTATGGTTTTTTGAGACAGTGCAGGTTTACAAGTCATTTGACGATAATTTGAAGTAGAGGCTTCTTCAATTATAAAGTGGAAATATGATTAGATTATCATGTTGCTCATGTTGTGAAACTACAGAAAAATGAAATTTAAAGTTTGGAATTGAACGCGAGATGAAAAAAAGCAAATTTATTGATAAGGTTGTAAATCTTCATCAACTAAAATGTTAGATCATATGTCGCATATGACATCTACTCAACAAAAAGAAACAACGCTCTTTGAAGTAGAACTTGAATAGGAAGAAAAACAGAAGACTTCTGAGCATGAATTTTCAGTAGCTGGTTTATACATACTCTAGATATTATGTGTACTGGTTAAAAGATGTAGGTTAAATCAATCAATAGATTCAGATGTATTCACTTCTATCTCAAAAGTTTCAGGCATTTTCACTAACATAGGTTTATTTATTTACTCGCCGCTACTCATAGTACACTTAAAAACACCACTAAATTTATTTATTTTTTCGTGTAACGGTTAAATAAATTAAAGAAAATAATGTGTTATATGCGTTATTTAAAGTAATTGACTTCTCTCTATTGAAATCGATATTTTGTGATACTTTTTTTCCCCATCACATTTTTAATTTCAGATGGCTTCTCGTGTTGTAATTAAATTGTTTGACTTAAATTCTTCAAGTTTCACAAATCTGTTACAAGCTCTTCCTCGTACAGCTCAAGATCGTGCACATGAAGTGCTTAAAACATACCAGAAAACAGCTACGGGTGGTGGTCTAATGAATTTAGGCGACTCTAATCATCATAACACTTCATCATGGAAATCACCGTAAGTCAGCATACTTTTTTTGCTTTAATAAAGTTGAATCTTTCTAACACCTTGTCACTTTTAACTAGGTAATGACAGTTACATAGGTAATATATTCCCCCCTCACCCCCACTCTCATGACAATGATTGTATGATCTTCATTCTTAAGTCAAAATAGTAATTGTGGTTAAGATAGAAGTGCTCAGTTAAGTAATTACACTAATGGAGTACTTGTATTTTTAAAAAAAAGATTCTATTTTGGTATATATAACTAGAAGCATTTTGAGAAATACTAACACATATAACTTAATTGCTTGGTGTTATAATAAATCATAACTTATGTTGTATCTTGTTTTGACGATTAATCAGCTATTGCATACATTATAATGTTGAAACGCAATTCTTTTCAGAAATCATGATGCATGCTGTTTTTGTTGTTCATCTGTCATGTCATTGATTAATTACACCCACCCCCACATACACATGTGTAGGCTGAATTTATACTCATCATAGTTATATACCCCTTATATACGCGTTTCATCCCCATTTCCCGCTTTCATTTTGTTCATATTTTTATATAAATCATTATTATATCCTTCTCCATATACTATTATTAATGCTATTCTCTATCACTCATGATTACTACTATTACTATTACTACAGTCCAGGATCATTGAGAAAATATTCTCTGCCTGTAACGAATCGAAGTTATATGACTAGGTTGGTGCAACTTTATTACATGTGTCATCTCTGTATGCGTCTATGTATTGAATAATTAATTGTGTTAATGCACTGAATAATTAGCCACTCACTGTGTTCTCGGTGTGCTCCTGTGTGTCTCTCTATGTCAGTGTGTTCCTTAACAAGGTGTATTAGGAAAATTAGTCGCAGTATGATTTGCTGCATGTTGTGTTTTTCGCATGTTCTAACTGATTATTTTAGTTTTACCCCTCCTGCATTTGCAATTTGCATGATTGATTTCAGTTGCATAACAGTGCACCACCACTTTGCATGTAGAGATTATCATTCACTGTTGCTCAGTGTATAATAAAACGCACCATATAATGGTTTTGATTTCGTTTTTTATTTTAATAACCCTACCACTTCTTCTACTACTAATCACATGTTCCCACAAATAATGAATGCATAGGTATGTTTTTTTTAAAAAAGTATTTTGAATCGATTATTATTATTATTATTCCAATATACTTAATAAAATTGAATTAGATTACAAGCTTCAATTAGCGGTTGACATTTTTATGGTTTAGAGATAACCAACCATCAGTTAGTTGTGCAGTTATAATTAAGCCTTCACTTAAAAGTATTTATATGACACTTTGATTAATAATCTGTTTCTAGATTGTTAACTTTTCTGGTTTTTATTGGACGGGTGTTAATTGCACACTGATTTCTTCGCTTGTAGTGTAGTGTAGAGCACATGAACACGCTTTTATCATTTAAACCAAAAAAAACAACTGACAATCTGATTTTATCATTAAAAATCTAAATTAACCCACCTTTTGTTTTGTTTTCTTATTCTATGCCCAATGATTTTCTCATCATCTGTTTATATATTGATTATTATACAACACGGTTAAATTGTGTTAGAAATGAGGTAATATTACTGCTCACAGCATTTGTCTTTGAATATACCATCCACTATAGATCTGATTTCAGATATTTTATTTGTGTCATCCCTAAAATCCAAACTATAGGTGATGTACTGAACAGAACTTTTCCTGGTGACTAGCTTGAGGATGAGTTTCTTGAAGGTCTAATATGAAATCAGGACAATTGAGGTTGTCTATATCGAATGTGAACCAATCGGATGCTTACCTTTAGCATTTGTTGTTAGTGGTGCTATATTACAAATTGTTTATTGGATTTGAATCTACTTTCTGGATGATAAATGTGTTCGACTCCTGCATTAAACTTCAGACATCGATCCTTACAGCCCTGAAGGGCATAAATGTTTGCCTATTTCGTTATCCATGGAAAGTATCCATCCAGACATGAATAATATTACAATAAAAACTTCAGAGAACATTCTCTTTTCGGCGAATTCATTCACTTAGTTGTAAAGTCACATTTATATATAATTATTTTGTGTGTGTGTGTGTTACATTAGGACTGTCAAACAAACGTAAAAATTAGTTAGGGTTATTCTTTACGTCATGTTTTTGAAATGTGTTGTCGTAACTAGGATATGTGTGTGAAGATTAGTAAGTTTTGAAAAGGGTTGCGTAATATGAAAAACACTTAGAAAAATAGGACGAGACAAGTGTCCCAAAATGAATTATGCAGTACGTAAGAAGAGTAAATAAAGGTTAGTCAGTTGATATCAAGGACAAAACGATGTTTTCTCTAGGTGTTGATTCTTTATTTACAAATGTACCTCTTTTACAGACGGTCGACATTTTATGTGATTACATCTCTGACAACAATTTCCTATTACCTGTGTCCCTATCTTATTTTTAAGAGTTACTGCTTCTGTGTACTAACAGTGTTAATTTTACACTTGAGGGCGAGCATTTTCGCCAGATCGATGGTGTTGCTATGGGAAGCCTCTTAGGTCCTTTGTTAGCTGATATATACATAACGCATGTTTAGAACCTAGTGGAGGACGTAATTGGAAAAGTTTATTTCTATAAGAGATATGTGGATGACATTATAGTCATTTGTGATAAATCGACAGACGCCATAGAAATCCTAAACCAGATCAATAGAGTACAAAACAGTATATTGCTAACTTACGTTAAAGGGAATAATGATTGCTTGCCATTTTTAGATGTCCTCATAACCTGCTGAGATGATGGGTCGGTCAGTAAAACGATCTGTCTACAGCAAGTCCACATGGATGGGACAGTATCTAAATTATCATAGTTTCTGTCCACTACAGTATAAAAAGGCGTTGGTTAAGTGTTTGTTCAAACGCATTCACCGTATATGTACTGCCGACACAATTGAAGAAGAAAGATAACACCTCACTGAAATATTGTTAGATAACGATTACCCGCTGAGATTTATTAGGCGTTACGGAAGTGTCAACCAAAGAGCTCTACCAATCCAATCAGCTCTCAAAAAGGATGTTTATATATCCTTGCCATTCAGAGGTGATCAACAAAGTCTGGTCACTAAACAAAGACCCAAGGCGGCAATTAATAGAACTTACTATGCAGCTAAACATATCTTCATAGAGAAAACGAGAACTATGCTGTCCTGTAAACCCTCACAGTATCCGAACAACAGTGTCACATCCCATTGTGTTTATCAATCTACATGTATGTGTGGACACGTACATACGGAGGACCCATAGGTCTCTGTAGGTTAGGGCTACAGAACATATTCCAAAGTGGCTGAAACAAAATCACCAGATACAATTGATCCCGGAAATAGATGTCCAACATCATCTATAGTGAAGCACATTATAGAGACGGGTCATAAGGTTGATTTCAACAATGCCTTTAAGCCCATGTATAAAACAAGGTTGGGTCACATACTTAAATTCGTTGAAGCCTTAGCCATAAAAAGACTTAAACCTGTCTTATGTGTCCAAAAGTTATTTGTTATTACTTTAAACCTGTCTTGGTAATCCAATTTAGAACCAGGGATCAATTTACTTCATAATATTTTCAACCCCTTCTTTGCTTTGTTTTTTCTTTCCTACCCACACCTTTGCGTCATCTCCCTACCCATTATTTGTGACCTTGAACTGTACACAATTTGACCTGTATTGTAATGATTCATGCCTTCTTGCCTTTTATGAAACTGTATATGACAAGTACGTGTGTGATCAGAATGTCCGAAATGTGTTGCGCAAATACATTACACGTTTCAGATAAACTACGTCTTCTTATTCAAATTTCGCCCGTGTATAAATTCATCCTTAGCTAGAGTGATCGATTACATTTCCATAACAAATATTAAGTGATGAAAGCAGGCAGTGAAAAATTTGTACACTTTTTCATTCATCTGTGTAACCAGCTGGAGTTGTTTCAGTTGCTTTACTTTTTTCCATGAAAGCACCACGATACACTCATCCAGGTTTTGTGAGCAGCCTCGGCCGTCATACCAAAGGCATGGCTCATTGCCAACTGCATAGAATTGCAAGTATTTTTTGAGTAACATTGAGTTAATTGAAACATTGATTTCTTTAGTTCACTTATTTAACAAAATAGAATTCGTTCATTTCGCATTGTGATCATTCTTCCCACGGCTTTTTCACGAAACAGACCCCTTAGAATTCAACTGTAGCATATATGAAAGTGAAACCTTATACATGATAAACCATAAAAATGAAATGTTCACAGTTAATGAATGAGTGAAGGAATGATATAAATGATCATTATTTGTATTATTGCTTTTTGATCGTTCTTTTTAAGTAATACACCTAGCTACGAATGTTTGGTATGCAATTCGCTCTTGTCAAATGTAAGATGATGGCTACAGGACTGAACTACATTGACTTCTAACTTAAAGACAGGGAGTGAAGTGGTAGAGTGTGTTGACCACTTCTCCTATTTGGGGAGTTGCATCAGCCCCAACGGGTTGATCGCTGACGAAATCCCGGGACGTATACAGAAAGCTCGTTTGGCATATGCCATTTTACACAATCTCTGGCGTTGACATGATAACCGGCTGACTGTCGATCAAAGGGTGTGTGTACTTCTTAGTATTTTGCTCTGTCCTCCTTTATGGCTGTGAGACATAAACATGGAAAGTGGGAGACATGAAAAGGCCGGCTAACTGTCTTTGATCATAGGAGTTTGCGTTCTATCTCCCGTGTGAAGTGGTATCATAGGTTGAGCAATATTGAGGTTAGGCGTTGACTACTAGGTATGTAGGGGAAATCAATAGATGAAGTTGTGGTGTTACACCGATGGAGATGGTTAGGACATGTGTTACGTATGCCTATCCTAGCCATTGGCTTCCTCGACGGGCAATGTTAGCTGATATAGGATGGATCAGGTTGGAAAAGAGCTAGTGATGGTCAAACAAAAACATGGCTTCATCAGTCAATGAAATCCATAACAGTTAGTTTAAGCCAGTCACTCACGTAGGGATGTGTAGACTTCCTGGCTGATTGGGGATTTCGGCATGGTAAAAACCAACGAAGGCTGGAAACAATGAGTGATTTGACTCAGAATCGTTCCCGAGGGCGCAGATGCATCCATTCTTGGTGATTTATAATATCCAATAAAATTCTTTTGTTTTTCCACATAACTGTTCTTTTTGCCTCACCCACAATTCTGTTTATCACCTATCTTTTGAATCTCTCTTTACTCTCTTTTCTTGCTTTGTTATGCTAAATGGAGTGTGGCAACTGGAACTGCTGCACATCTATGCAAAATTCTACGTTGAAACCAGTCAGTCAAACACGTAGCTTGCATTAACTCACTGAAGATTGAATTGCACTAGTATTCTGCTTTCACTCATTAATTAACCTACCAGTTAATATATATACATAGATAGATAAATATTTTCTTTATTTCGATTATTTAAATTATTTCAGTATCTTAATATTCCTGTTTCAATAGTTTGCTAAAATGATTCAATTTTAACTGTAGACTATGGGAAGAGTCTGTTAATTTGCTCCGAGTTGCATTGCACTATTTTGTTATTGTACTTCGAACATTGGTGTAATATATTCCAGTGTGTTTCTTCAACTTTCACAATAGAAACGATACTTGTTTTCGCACTGTCTTATTCTAAAGACTTTATGGTGTATACTAGATGACCTGGAATTATGGAATGTTAAACCATCGATTCACTTTCAGTATTATCAATCGTAGTTGTCAGATCATTAGGGCATCTTGTTTTTGTTTTTTCTCTCAGTAGCTACATCTTCATATGTCGATCATATAATTATCATTTTAACGAATTAAAATACCGTTAAGAGAGAAACACTTATCCTATCATCAGTTGACTTAAACGACCATTTGATGATAAACTGTTGAATTAAGAAGTAGTTCACAAGGTGTAAAGTAGGGAAATGTCAGATGTCACCATTTCATGATTACTGCTGTTGAATCGTCTTTCTTATAATGACTACCTTAATAGTTCTGCTATCATATAACGTCCTTCATCGGCAGGGTGTCTGTGTGTTAGTTCTAGGTGAATTCTTCGTATACACCATGTCACTACTTAGTATGATGAACTTCTCATTCCGCAGTTGCACCACCTTCTTACTAGTTTAATATGGTCTATTCTCATTCTCTTTCTTTCTCTCTCACATACATCTACGAGCGCTTAGATAACACGTGCACAAATGAGTTACTACTCCTGGATGTGTGCAATATGTTGCAAGTTAATCCAATGATTATCAATTGATCTGTTACTTTTACATGTGTTGATACTGACATTTTCGAAAAGAATTTGATTGTTAATATGACACAGTGTAATTTTGTCTGTTTAGCATGCTTCAATTGATATGCTAATGAATTTTATGCTTAGTCTGGTTGTACTGATGTTTGTACTTATGTATGCAGTCTACATATATACATGTCATATATCACTGTCTTATAGGTCTGTTGATCAAGATCATATGCTTTCATATTCATCTGGTGCTAGCCACTATGGATCAGTCGGTGGACCCGCTTATTCTTCTCAGCGTTCTCAAGAATCAACTGGTCAAATAAGCCCAGAAAGTATGAATCGTTTGATTCGAGAAACAACAGACGGCCTTCATTCACTGTCTATTGGTATGCCAACCTCTATAGCAAGTCCAATACGAAGAGCTTCTGCTGGTTCAGGAACACGTGTAGATCATGCTCAAGATTTAGCACATGTTACAAATGGTAATAATGGTGTATTACGTACAATGCAACCAAATAATTACCTTAATTCTCCTCCTCCTCCTACATCACTACAAACTCCTAGTATTGTTCCGTCCAATGTAAATCAATGTTATGCGCCATCAGGTACACCGAATGACCCATCACTTCAGTCTACCTTTGGTTTACGTACAAACAAGGTAAGTGAAGCTTTTGAGTTTTATTAAATGTGATGCATACTTATGGTTATCTTATGCTTGTCTTCTGTGGGATTATTCAACAGATTTTTATATCAAAATAAAAAAATCACATATCTTTAAACCACTGTTATGAAGTCTTTCATGCACTACAAATTTCACTGGGCATATGAAAGATTAAACCATTTTCGACAATAGAATGAGTGATTTGATGAAGTGCACACATATTATGCGCACTGTAAATTTGTGTGGAGTTTTCAAATTAAACTAACTGATGAAAGTTTTTTTTCTCGCCTAATTACTTCAACAAATGGTGTTTTTGTAATCTGTAAAACATCTGTAAGACTTTATTTATTCTGAGGTATATTTTTGCATTGATTGTAATACAATTGATTTACTGTTTTGTAGCCTATTGCGAATACCTTGATCAACTATGATCCTGGCGAAGGTAAGTCAAGCTGGGCTTTTTTTTAAAAGGCATCTATATATTTATATTTCTTTATAAATGCCTCTTGTTTCATCGTATTCTTTAAAAACGGTGTGCATGTCTACTCCGTGTCTAAAATACTTATATACCAACTACTTGAAAATTGCTTCGGGTAAATGTGTTCACTCTTCTTATGGTATAACTTTGAAGGATTCATGAGAACCTATTACAAGATAATAATGTTTTTATATAGAAGTTATTACAGGTTGACTAAACTAAGCGCATTTTATTTGAACAATTCTCTTCTATCTTATTTTAATACTCACGTTAGAAAATACCTGGTGTTCTAAACTGCTTTTTGTTAGGTATTACGAATATAACATTGAATACATGAGTTGAAATTAATGAAACGATATTATAATCGTTGATTATTAAACAAATAATTTAAGGATTTCATCATGAGCTGAAATTGGTTAGACAACCATTGAAAAACCAGTAGGGGGTACTCGACAGATGATGTTTCGTCTTAGTTCGGTGATTGCATGACAGTCTACAACCTCTTATTTAACCCCTCACAGGATTTTCTTCATGTCACCTTTGGCCCTACGACCAGTCTCTTTCCATTCATGTTGATTTTTAGCCAGTTAGCATTTAAATAACTTTCAATTCTTACAATGTCAGGGCTCTGTTGAGGTGTCCTTTTGCTTCTATCAGTTCGGAGGAAGCCCCAGAAAAACACCGGCATTTTCTAACTTTTGACTGCATGTTGTTGTTGAAAGCCTTTTTTATTGTTCCTACAGCAGTCTAGATATATAATATCACGTTTCTTCACGTCGAATATTGTTGGCATACTGAATTAAAGGTTTGGTTATCGCTTCATCAAATATCAACTTAATGTTCATTTGCTTGATGTTGGTAATCTAAAAGTGAGACAATAATTTTCCTGCTACCTTGACGTGGTGGTCGGGCTTGAACACCGCAATGACCCAACAAGCTATACTGTCTGAAGCTTATGTCGCTTGAGGTCCTACCATGCCAGAAAGGTTGTTTGGATAGCGGTTAGACAAAAAGCAGTTACCCAATCCAATTCTATGACTCAAACAAAATCACAAAATATCATGCCGGATCGGTCGAGGCCCGGACTAACAACGACCGCGCTTCCTTCTGCCGTGTCACAGGGCAGAAGTGATAAATATGCTACTGAGACACACCAAATAAAAAAGAACAAACAAAAACAGGCCGTGTGTGACCGGCCTCAAGCAGTTGTCCCCTGGGCTCTGCGGTCACGCAACCAACTTCCACGGTGTGGGCAGCCGGGAAGTAACTATCGCCCTCGGTCGGTCGGTTTTCGACATAGAACTTTGCACAGATGTGCGACAGTTCAAGTCGCCACACCATGTAGCACACAAAGCAAGAGAAGAAAGTAGAAGAAATGCATAATGTAGTCAGTAAACAGAGGTGTGAGACAAAGCTATAGTAATAACGAAGAACAAAACAGTTTAATTGGAAATCGCACTCACAATCCGAAATGCACGCGAAACCTCTCTGAAGTTTGGAGCCAAAGCTGGGCAATAAAGGTGGTTATCTGAACGGGATTAAAAAAGGCATTCACCATTGTTAACCCGTTGGTACAGAACACTCTACATACATTCAGTGTACTGTTTAGACTGGCTAAGTTGCCCAACATGAACGTTGGAAACATCTGTTAGTATAATTACATCCAAGAATTTTACTTTTAACAGCAAACTAGACGCTTTTTGACAAAACCCATCCGAACTACAGTCAGTTGGTGCGTAAGTCAATATTATGGGAAGGAATCGACGAGTATCAAATGTTTCTCAGTTCTCTCAGATCCATTCAGCCAGTTAGTTTTTGAAGTGTAATGTTTAGAGGGAGTTAGACAAAAGATTTTCTATTGATATTATATATATATATTGCTTAACTATTTTGAACTTCTGGGTTTATATCTAATTCACGGGATACTAAACGACAAGTAATTGATTTTTGTTAAGTGTCAGCCCGTTTTACAGCTAATTATCGTGAAAATTTCTGTATCTGATTGATGAGATTAAATCGTCATAGTTATCTCTTGTTCCAGTTAAATTTCTCTTTTAATATTCATATCATTCATTATTCCTACATAAATAGGGCCAAAATTAAAGAAGCCCGTAATTGGTTATCAGACTCTAAAAAAGATACGCGGTAAGCTTATTTCTTTTGTAGAAAAGGTCTACTATTAAAAGTAATCAAAGCATCTCCTGTGTGCTTACGTATTCATTCGTTGTCCATTGTTCTGTGCTCTCTCTTATCGTTTTCTCAATGTGTCTGTCTCCTGTTTTGCGCCACATTACTTTCCGCTGTGCTATGTGTATATTTGTCTTGATGTTGTTCTTTTTCTTTTTTTACGTTCTGCTATTACCAACACCACAAACTATATGGTGATCATTTCATGTGCACGCTTTGTTCTACTGGTTATGTGTTTTGTAATTTCTTTAGGATGTTTTTTGTCCTTACTGTCTGTGTATTCATGTCTGCATTCGGTTTATTGTGCACTGTGGCGTCCTCTATGTGGTTGTTTTTTTTCTAATTGACTGTGACTACTCCATCATCATGGAGGGATGGTGTAATGTTTAGTGTAATGCATAGTTTTCAGCATGTCCACTTGTTTTATATATGCGTATCTCTCTGTATAATTGTTAGCTTTCTGAGTTTAATTTTACCTTTTTTGATTTTTTTTCCTATCTTTGTAGAAATGCCTCCAGAAGATATTATGTCTGAAATTTTACAGGAATTATCAAACCATAATGAACGGTAAGCGAATAGTTTTCGGCGATTGACATTTCTGCTTATTTTATTCAAAACTATGGCTTTTTATATACGTATCGTGGTTTTCTCACTACTTTGAGTGTATGGTTTTTGGGTTTTCGCAGCTCTGTGAATGTCATTTTATTCCGTTTTCATACTAGCGGACATGATTTGAAATTGAATTCTATTGAACAGCAATCCAGTGTTTGTCTCCACCTAGTGCTTATAATCGCGACACATCTATGCCGGTGAATTAAATTAACACCATTTACTAGGGAAAGTGATAAACCATGTACTATTTCCCCTCTAATTAATAATCATTCAATGTGATACATATCACTTATATTATCTACTTCAGTCTAATTACTTGTGGTCAGGTGCTTGGCTGATGGTTAAAAGACATTAAACTGAGAATCGCTGTGAAGGATTCAGTGTTTCTCTTTGATATTGATATTTTTTTTTACCTTTACAGTATACTTTCTCTAGCCTTTTTATACCTTCAATACTACAGTGCTTTGTGTTCTAAGTGAAGTGTGGCGAACTGCTGCACATCGGTGCAAAGTTCTACGTTGAAACCAGTCAGTCAGTCAGAGAGTGCTATTTAGTAGGGCAATGATCTAGTCATCTCCATAACATGATGTCGAAATCTTGTTTCTGTTTTGATTTTTGTAATCACCTGCTTGTCTTTACTTCTTTTATAAATACACTATCAAAATACTCTCTTGAGGACTCTGTATTTTCTATTATGTATCACCTAGTGATTCATAGCATCAAGAAAAGAGTCCTTGTTGCATTTGTGTTTTGTAATATTAAACAATGCTTTCACATTAAATTTGCTTAACATGCTATGCGCCTCCAATTTATACCTGGTATAATCGAGTTGGAGTATCATTCGATAATGTGTAGGTGCGATAAACTTCCACTTATGCAAATATTAGGTGATAAAATCAAAATCAAATTAAAAGAAACTAACAAATTCAGGACAAATTATAAAACAAGATCAGTGGTGAGTAAAATCTGACGGACCTGTGTTACCTCGATTTTACTGTAGACCGAAACTACACAAACCAAGCATTCCTTAACGATCAATTGTTTCGCTACCAGGAACCCCAACATATAATCTATCTAAAGAACTTTTCAGAAAATTAAAATACCTCACAGAATCATGCGAACATTCTATCAATTCGCCAATCCATCTTTTAGAGAAAATCAAAAACTTTCAAGTGGATGATAATGAAATAATGGTGTCCTTTGATGTCACAGCATTATATGCTTCAATTGGTTTAAAACTAGCCAAAAAAACTAAGCAACAACTACTCTATAGCGATGAAAACATAAAAACGCAATGTTCAACTTAGATAGAACTCATCGAATTATGTCTAACAACATACTTCCAATTCAATACTCAAATATATGAACACATAAAAGGAACACCAATAGGATCATCCATATCAGGATTAATAGTTGTTATGCAAAGATTAGAATTAATAACCCCACTTGTAATTAAACCAAAAATCTGGGTACGTTACGTTGATGATAGATTTGTAATAATTAAAAGAAATGATTTGGAATATACCTACAAATTAATAAACAACATATTTGAAGACATTAAATTCACAAGAGAAGAAGAATTCGACAACAAAATTCCATTCTTAGATGTCTTGATCAAGAGAACTAACACAGGGAATTTAGAAACACAAGTGTATGGAAAATCAACTCACACAGATCAAAATACTCAACTATAATAGTAATAACTTAATTACCCACAAAAGAAACTGTGTGCAGACATTGTTTACGAGAGTTCAAACACACTGTAGCAGTTCAGTGTAAAAGAAAATGGAGGAAAAATACCTACTAACCGTTTTCAAAAAGAATGCATTACCTCACAATTTTATCAAGAAGTGTTTGAAATCGAACCAACATCGAAGACCACAAGAAAATTCACTCTACCATAAAGAATATCTATGAGGTAACGGCTAGAATATTAGGACCGTCTGAAATAGATACACACAAGCCAACCAACACAATCACTTAATTCGATATTGTGCAAACCAGAGGATCTAACAGAAAAAGAAGATAAAATTAATGCCATTTACAAAACAAATTGTATGAACTGCAATAAACATTACATCGGTCAAAGTGGGTGTCCCCTTCGAATCCGAATCCAAAATCGTAAATTGGCTGAAAAAAGGCAGGGTATGTCAATGCATGTAGATAATTATAGACACCAATTAGACTGGGATAATGTAGAAATTTTAAATAGAGGAAACACCAAAAATGCAGTCAGGGAATTTGTAGAAGCCTGGTACTTAAATGAATCAGTAATTAACATACATAATACTATAGGCCAAATTTACTAACTAATAAAAAAATAAATCACATGACGAGAAAGTTCAAATTCCAAGTCAGTAAAAAACGATCAATGGAAACGTAAATTAATAACCAGTCAGGACATACAAATAAATATCATCTCAAATCCTTCGCCGAAGATGTTGTCTAGAAGGAAAACGAAGGCTCCGCAATCAAATCAACCAGCTTAGAGAACACAACTAGATCAAAATCATCCACCTGAGCTACAAATATTCTCCAATAATTCAAAAACTTTCACTGTGTTCACCTCAATGTATTTCTTCAAGTATTGGTTTGTAGGGATTTGATTGATTGGTTACAGGATTTCATCATGAGCTGACATCAGTTAGAGAACTATTGGAAAACCCGTAGGGAGTACTGGACAGCTGTTTTGTCAGCCTAGTTTGGGATTCTTCATCAGTACCCACCCATCGGGGTTCGAACCCAGGACCTTTTGGTTGGCAGAAGTTGGAATTCATGGGCCATTGGATCGGGTCCCAGGGGCTTAGGGGTCTACGAACTCGCCTTGTAACCAGAAGGTCCTGGGTTTGAACCCTGGCGGTGGGTGCGTATTGATGAAGCGTCCCAAACTAGGCTGATGAAACAGCTGTTCAGTACTCCCTACGTGTTTTCCAATGGTTCTCTAACTGATGTCAGCTCATGATGAAGTCCTGTAATCAATTTATATCTGTTATTTCACACTCTCCAACGGAGCTAACCGGACTGGACGATGTAAGCTAGTTCTCTTTTACTGAAACTCTTCTTGTTTGATGAACGCTGGACGACAAAATCAGTGATTCAGCCGCCTGTGACTTGTTGATTATATATACACGGCTAAACTGACCAACCCTGTATCTCTATGTTTTCTCCACTAATGTGTTGCTGATATACTAATGGACGAAAAACTAAAGTCTGCATCCTATTTGTTTTTTTATGTAGTTATGTTCTCTGAGCTGGCTGGATGGTTTATTTGCGAACCTTTCATTATCCCAACACTAGGCAACATCTTCAGCGCATACTTCATTTTGCTGAAGTGAGCTTTTCGATTTCTCCACGAGTCAATTAGTCATCTCTCCTGGTGGATGACCTTGAACGTGACAGGTTGTTTTTGCGTGTTTTCACACCTTCGAGGTTACTTGTATTGGTACTGATTGTTTCCTTGACCTGAACTTTGACCTTTTTGTGTGAGGTTTCCTTCCTATCGATTAGTAAATTTTATCTATGTATCTTTTGAGTGACGACTCACTGGCATACCATATCAAGAAATCTCACACACAAAAAGGGTCAAAGTTCAGGTCAAGGAAACAATCAGTACCAATACAAGTAGCCTCGAAGGTGTGAAAACACGCAAAAACAACCAGTCACGTTCAAGGTCATCCGCCAGGAGAGATGACTAATTGACTCGTGGAGAAATCGAAAAGCTCACTTCAACAAACTGAAGTATGCGCTGAAGATGTTGCCTAGTGTTGGGGTAATGAAAGCTTCGCAAATAAACCATCCAGCTAGCTCAGAGAACACAACTACATCAAAATCATCCACCACCTGAACTGAAAATCTTCTCCATCATATCTAAATTGTTTCTTGTTAGGATCCTTCTCTTAATTATGGCCTCAATGATATTCTTTCCAGTTGATTCACTCCATCTTATTTTGTCTTCTGTGTCATTACAATAAAACTATTTACACTTCTTTTGGACAACACTCAACTTACTGTGTGGCTCCTAAAATTATTATATTTACTTCTTCACATTTTAACCCTTTCTGTGTTTCACCTACTTCAATTCTCTCACCACCCCTCGATGCCTAACAATGATGTTAATATTTATTTTTGTGAACATATGTGTATTGACTGTGCAATTTTAATGCCAAACTACTAATGCGACTGTATTGCCTTGAAAGTAAAGTCGTTGAAACGAAAAACTTCCTTGAAACAATCATTACATTTTTTTTGTGATTTATGAAAACAAAATTGGGAACAGTTTATTTCTCCTAAATATCTTCTCCGTTAATGTGTACTACAAAATTTCCCCTCATTAGTTTGTTTACTATGTCGCTTCTTCTTCTTTTTCTTCTCCTTTGATTTATTTTTGTTTACTTAATTTTGTAGAGAACAAATGCAAATAAATTGATTTTTCATTTTTACTGAATACTGTAATGATTGGCAAATCTATTAATTTTTCTCTTGTTTACCCTTTGTTTAGTAATCAATTTATTGCTTTTACTAAACAAATGAAGATTATTGACTTTCTGTTTACTGTTTCCTCTTATTGACACTCGAAATTTATTAGCAAAAGTCAATATTCATGATGTGATGTATTCTCTGTCATACTTTCAAAAGGGGTATCTTATTCGATTTCAAATCCTAATCAATTACTCAGTGCTTAGAATGTTAAAATAGTTTTGAAATTCTAAGTTATTCAAATGTTTAGGCTCAAAGACTTGGCGCGCGTCACCTTAAGCACTTCTGACAGACTACTTCAGACTTCCATGCATACCTTCCATACTGCAGATCCATTGGCTGGAAACGAACCAAGCCGAAGGAAATGGGGATGGAGACCATTGAATGAGATCGTACTCCAGGTCCGCGAGTGGACTCCAGTGGGAAACAATCAGTTGGGCGTTCAAGGATGACATGGAGAGGATTGTGTGAGGATGAAA